TAATCAGACATGGGGCGATTACTTGACAATTGTAATCGATTAAATTATGATTATTTGTCAAAATGCTTGATTAAATTAAATTACTGATTACTCCATTTTGACATTGTAATTGATTAAATTACTGATTACTGACAGGTTTAATCAGATTACATTTATGATTACTGATTACATGTACATAAGTTAAGAAATGCAATGGTTCAACACTATCGTTTTATTGAACATTTCAATACAACAAATGTACAAATAAATAATCCAGCTTAGTTTTACAGTAATTAATTCAGTCTACATATGTACATGTGTTGCCTCCTATTTACTAAGCTATATTCTCATATACATTTAATGTTCATTAGTTTTTTAAATGTATTTGGTTTCAGGAGGCATTTAGCTCTCATATTGCCATCATCAGGAATTTTTTCTGGCAATATGAAGTATTAAAAACAGCAGGCATATTTCCTGCCATGCTTGCGTATTGCTTTCTTTTGGATATGATGAAAATCTTTTTGTACATTTTGCTTCTACATGGACTTAACAATACCAAAATGTAACAGAAAATATAACAGAAAATATAACTCACTTTTTGTCAGTAATTGCAGCTTATACTTGCACTTTACTTAACCTGTAAAGTCTGCCAAATAAGTGATAATATACCTATCCAGGCCATTGTTATAATTTCACAGCTAAATTTAAGTGGTATAATTGTCACCTTATTAAAACACAGGTGTCATCAAATCTGACCTGGGTAACTGCATTTAATTCACCTACACTACCTAAGACAATTAGTAGGCATTGACACTGGTACTTTTTTAACCTTTATATGTATGTTTGTTCAGCAATTGTTTTTAGCTTAACATGTATTGTAATCATACATGCCATCATTGTGTTTACTGATTAATTGGTCATGTAATTGATTAAAAAAATCTTCTCTAATATAAAAATGCAAAAAACGCTATATAAACAATGAAAAAACATTGTTTTTGTTATATATCAGTACACGTTTTCAGATTCTCATCGAAAGTGTACTGAATATAATGGGTAAGTAAGAACAAAGAAAAAATTCTTAACCACGTGATAACTACTCGTATTAATATCGTTCAAAATGTATCGGTAAACCTCAATTCTTAAAAGGGTGGGACAGTGAGTTTTTATATTTCATTGTACATATTTTTCTTTATCTATTATCACCCTTACAATAGCCAATCTTTTGAAATACAATGTATATTACAAATTCAACACAACTTTAGACAGCGATAGCGAAAAATGTGCATAATGCCACTTTAATATATTAAGAGTTTCTTGTCTTTTAAAATGATTTTGAAATTCATTTGGTTAAATATTTAAGTGTGACACAAATAAATAAAACAAACATATTGCCTGACATTATTCTACTAAAGAAATTTAGATTGAAAACGTTGTTTTTTCCTATTCGTTATTCATCTATGTTTTACACTTATATTGGCAAAGGCCTTTCACGATCAGATATTGCAGTATACAATGTTTCACAATGAACAAACAATGCACATGGGATTTGTAATGGCGGCCAGATAATGTCATCTTACAACTTCCAACGAACATGACAGAAAAAAGCATTGCTCAGACTCATATATGTTACCAAAGATATAATGAATATTGTACCAAAGAACGGTAGAGACATTATAATTTCAAGAATTCATCATTCAACTTCGCGATTTTACTGTCAGGAATTCACGATTGCATTTTCATGAATGCGCGATTTCAATATAACTGAATAAACAACTTTATAGAATATTTATGAACCGCCAACACATTGTCATTCATAACTCATTAATTCACAGACAGTTATGTTTAATTCAATGTTTTTATAATTCTCAGCCAATCGTTCCAATGCACATTTTATATTGAATAAAAAGAAAAAAGCGAATCAAATTAGGATCTTGCAGGTATAAAGGAATATTCTCGTTGATTAAACATTATATGACTTACGTCTTTAAAACTGAATTTAATTTCGAAATCCAATAAAGTTTAGCTCAAACTTATGGCAATCATTTGTTTTATACAATAATTACATTTTTCTTAATTATCTAGCAAATTATGATAAAATTCACTTTAATATGTGCTGCAATAAATACAAAAGCAATATGCATTATTTTATGTTTTTGAAAAACACCTAGGCCTTAACAAAATAATTCATTTCCTTATGGTGTCCCGTCAATCTCGTCTAAGTAATAAACTATATTGTTTAATTTCAAACTAACTAGAAAAATGACATATCTCTTTTTTTTCCATTTTCTATAGACACAAGTAAGCTATCAAACGTAACGCTGGAAGAATCATTCACACTGCCCTAAATGTAACATTGTATTGAGCAGTGGATATTAATCAAACTGTTTTTCTCAGACATATCTTTGTCCAGTGCCTGTCAGATTCTCCTATTAAGAAAACCCTTTAAATCACTAAATGACGTTATCTAGATTTATAGTTTGGCATTAATATATTTGTTGTCCTAGTGTTATGATTACTATTCATCAACAATTTATTATTCCATCATTTTCGGTAGTATTAACATAATTATTTCAACAGCTATTATTTATTTTGTCTAAAAGGTTTGTGTCATTTTACTTCTTAATTAATTTATCTTGATTAAGTTACATTTCAATTTCAAGTACAACTATTGTATATATAGTAAAACATTAAAACGCCCGAAAGAAAGAAATATTTATTTATAGACTATATCTTATATACTCTGATAAGACCCTCGTGTTCTTTTATTTGTTGTGTTTTTTTTACTTATCAATGTCTGCTCTAATATATACACGAAAGATGTTTTTTTTTTCATTAAGAAATAATATCGAGTTTTCTTATGATAAACAACATTAACAACAAAATATACTTATTGTTCCCAGATTTAGATTGGCACTAAGATCTGAAACATCCAAAGAATTAACTGATTTTAAAACTAGACTAATTCATTAAGATCTGAAAATTTCTTCACCCGCATAGAAGTAAGTGATTTTAATGTTGCCTAAAAACTGTGATTAGAAATGCGAAATAGATATTTGTTCATTACAAGTTGTACCTTGAATGTAACAAAAGAAAGCCAATAATAAAATTCTGATTATGCATATTTATGTAGTCCAACTCTCTCAATATTTAATAATTTTTCTCGCCTCTGTTACATTCAGCTCTAATGGTGATTTAGTAAATAGCATGACAACTTCAATCGTAAATGAAGCACACAATATGAGATACTGACGGACAGTAATTCAATTTATAAAATCTACTGAAATGTGTACATATTTGTTATTGTCTTTCTACAAAAAACTGACAAGCATAACAACAATTTTAAAGGTACTTTTATTTCAATATCTTAATAGCAAAATTATGTCCTTTAAAGTAACACAGACGAGAGACATATGGATACTGACAGACAACTCATGGGAATGGTATGTATAGGAGACAAGTGTTTCAGAGTTCTGTCCCATTCATCGACTACGTATGAAAAAAAATTAAATGCGTTATTAAATTTGTTTTATAAAGCACCGTATTGCAACAAAACAGTAATTATTACTGCATGCGTGAAATTGGCTAATGAGTCCAATGAGTAAAGTTTTGTCACAAATATAAAATCCTATTAGAAATAAAATTATCCGGGCATAATGCGCCTTAAATTTTTAAGTTTACCCAGAAAAAGTTATTTTAATAGATTTTATAAATTCAAGTATTATTTTCTCTAACTGGAATAGTATTTTAGGCGTTAATTGAAGAAACATAAAGTGCTCTGTTTTCAAAGTTGTCAAATTTGAGAACATTTATATGGTATAAATTGAAATGTAATTGAGCCGCTTAAAATTAAACTTAAAATCTGCTGCAAATTACAAAAGACATAACGAGATGCTAGAACATTTGCGGATATTAAGAAATGCATGTTGATGAGTGTTAGTTCTTGCTCAATAAGAGTATTTACTTGGCAAGTATTTATTTAAGTGGAAAGAAAAACAACAATATACAGTTATTTCATACGTGATTTGGGAACAGTCAAACTGTTGGCCCGAGGTGGAGGGGGTAGTGTTTTGAACTGTTGCCCAAGGCCGTAGGCCGAGGGCAACAGTTCAAAACACTATCCCCGACACCGAGGGACAACTGTTTGACTGTTCCCAAATCACGCATGAAATAACTGTTTTATTACCTGATCAACTACTGTTATAACAGTATTTGCAGAAGAAAAAAGGAACAAGAAAAAAGTTTTGCACATATGTTAATAGTTAAACTTAATATTCTAACTATGTCACGTCACGTCTGGTTCATGGTCAAGATCGATGGACGCTTTAAGTGGGAATCCTCTATGACGTCAATGACGTCAGAGCACGAGAGGGAAACAGTCGAAACTATTGGCCGGTCAACAGTTCGCGAACGTTGACGTTTTTAGAATTTCAGAAAACAGTAAATAATAACAAATTACATTTATATAAGGTATCAGGTAATAATAGGAAATAAATACACGATTATTGTTAGTTTCAGTTTAGGAAAATTGCGACTTTCAGAATAATTTAGCCAAGTACAAAAAATTTTGTTACGACTGTCAATCTCACACATAACAAAATAGTTCTGCATTTCTTCTCTTATATTGAAAATGAAAATCAAAAAACGAAAACATAATCATTTTTAATTTGCTCAAAATGAGTGCATCTGGTATTGCATTTTACAATAGTTTCTTAACATAAGCTGGGAAATGCTTTTTGTTGCCTAAAACAGTTTTATTACACTTCTTATCGGTCGTGGTTCAATCCGTGTTATCGAGGACACAGTCTGTTAAGTCAAGGATACAGTCTGTCTATCATAGATCAAATGTCTGTAGTACAAACTACACAAAATTTAAATATTTTGAAAATTCTATTTCTTTTGATTTTATAAAAAGGTACAGGGTAACTATTTCAATTAGGCCACAATGTAAAATATGATAAACAAGATCAACTAGTAAACCATTCATAAGGGGTATTTGACGGAATATTATAAAAACTGTAGTGAATGATTAATTTCAGTTTTAATATGGAAAAGCAAACAAACAGAAACATAAAAATATGCCCTAATTCCTTCAATTAACAAGGATATGACTATCATACTACATTGAATGTATACAAAAGTGTATATCATACTGATCATACTGAAAAGCTGCAAAACAATCACTTCATATATGAACAATTATAATATTCATGTCTCTGTCAGAAATTTATCTGAACTACTATAAAATCTTATTTTTACACAAAATAAATTGACACAAATGTTCAGAAATGTCCATTTCAACACATGTTTTATCGCCTTTGTGCACCCTGAAAGTAAATTTATTAAATAATTATACATTTGATATTATAAAAATCGCATACAATATATACATGTTCTACTGTACATTTAGATGTTTGTTAGAATAATTTTAAAGCTTACATAAATATTGATGCTTATATATTTACATATCAATATTTGTTAGATAATCCCATGTCCTGAATAGATTGACTTCTTTCAAAAAAAGTAAATAATATTTTCTGAAAATTAAGAACTGTTTATATCATACCGATAACAGCCCACAGTCTGTGTTAATGATAATTTCTGCTTTAGATACAAAGTGTTTGCATGAAGGTTTCAATCAAAGAATTAACTTCTATAACAACTACTACTTCCAAATGTTACTTGTTTTAAAGATTGTTTTCGATTTCCTTGCAAAAACGTGGATGTAATCTACTCACCTTGCATCCGCAATCTGCGCATACGTCACAGATGTCTGAATTCTTTAACACGTGGGACTCATAGAATGCTGTTACTTGGTTACCTTTAAAACAAATTTTTATAATATATTTTTATGTTAGAATTATTTGTTATGTTTTTATAAATTTTTAATAAATTATAATCTCATCTTCATACTTTATTCATTACGTACCCGAAAAAAGTTAAATTCAATATTCCGAAATTGTTTTTAAGAAGTTGTTAATACTAGTAGTCCTTACTTGGTTGATAGTAGTCATATACCCTCACAGTTGCTGGCTGCGACTTTGCGACCATGCCTGTTCGGATAACATCCATTGTAAGACAAATTGGTTCAGTCGTAATCTGAAAATGATTTATGTACGTAATATAAACATAACAATCATAAGTTGGTTAAACCCATAAATGCAAATTTATAAAAGCTATATATAAACGTCATTTCATTTACAAAGCATTCAAACAAATCTTCCCTAGTTTCGCTTAAAAAAGCTAATATTTACGTAATGTTCTACAGTTTTAATGGCCCACTCTGTTAAACACATTTAATGTAACTATAAAAACCTAACCTCGTCAAAATATAGTATGACTTTTCTGTCTTCACTTTCAACTTTTTTTATCTCAGCAACACCAGCAATGCTCTCCAAGTCGGCTTCAAATCCGCTTGGAATACCAAATTCCTGAACCGCCATACCACTTGCCCCTGTCTTCAGCCATCTTAACAAGAACATAATACGTGTGGTGATTAATAAAAACGGTTCCATTAATAAAATAAAAGTATATATGTTTAAAATGTATATAATGCAACAACATCATAATTGATGTTAAATTTCCCAAACTGTTCATATCAATTTGTTATATAAATTGTATATGAAACAAAAATCTACAAAAGTGTCACAGTCGTAAAAAGGTAAGAAAGATAAAGTTTTCTTTTACGATGTTTATAGTTTCAAGGGAACAGTTTATTCTATGTACATGTGAATTGCAGACTTTTTGCACAGTCATACAAGGTTATCTCTCAAAACTGTCAATGAAATGGTGAATATTGTAGATTTTGTAAGGAACTAGCATTTAAACTTACGTAGCACATGTTTTGATTGAGAGGAAGTCTACAGTTTCTTGAACCATTGTTACAGTGACATCAAATGATTTCTCTTCAATCTCCTGTTCCACATGGAATGAGAGGTTTATCTGAAACACCAACAAAATATCTAAACGTAATCATTGTATTAAAAGATGAAATTGAAATGAGCATGGAAATCGTGATTGTGTAATTGTTGGGTTTGAAAACAATAATCTTTCTTGAAAATTTACAATCTTTATTATATTTATTTATGATAGAAACTACACTGTAATGATACATTCCATATAAAGTGATTTGTGTAAGGATAATTGTAAAACTTACGTCAACCAGAGCCATACCATGTCCTGTTGCAGTCACAGAAACCTGGCTTGGAACAGATGGAAGCTGAAAAATATTTAAATTGCAAATTTAATAATACAAACCATAATTACGATTACTGGGTCTTAACATGTATTGCTTAAAATATTGCATAAACCCTCTATTATCAAAACATAGGTTAACACTATTGATAAATTAAACTCATACGCAAACAACTGGTTCTTTCCGGTCTGTCGATTGGTCTTTCAACATGCTTTTGTAAATTATGGAAATATAATATTTGTTACTTATTGCCTATGCTATTACGTTCTGAAGTTATATGTTCAAAAAGGAAAGAAGACTTATCTTATATTTAAGTCAATTGAAAGAAAATATATACATTAAAATACAACGTACATTGCAGTTATTATTATATAGAAAAAACGGTAATAATGTGAGACAGTTTACTTACCACTACAGTTTGGAGAACAAGTGCGTTTTGCTTGTTGATGGAGAATTTGTGTGTAAATGTTCCAGCTGTTATTGTTGCTTGGATATCAAAATTGTCCGAGTATGCCATTACAGCAAACTCTGATAATGCTTGTAATCCGATAACTGTGTCCTACATAACACAAACCGAATACAGATTACTTAAACGTAATAACAAATTATAGTACCTCTTTTAAATACATAGGTGCGTTAAAACAGATGCCACTTTCATTATTTACTACTAATTATTTAAAGATTCTGATTTTGTGACAGTCAATATAAATATCATTCAAAAGATTTGCTTTTGAATTCTTATATCTGTTAAATCAAATGTTGATAACAAATATGCCCGACATAAAATGATTAAACATAAATGTTCTTAGAGGGCACTAATGATATATATTGAAAGTTTCAAATAATTATTCAAATAACGCATACGTTTTATTACGTTATTGCTAGTCGGAGCTTGGTGCGTGAAAGGCAGCTGTACTTTCAGTATTGTCCATGAACAGGCAAATTTGAATATTTTGGATTCTATTTTTCTCTTTTTAAGAATAATATCTATAAATGTTGTAAAAACCTGTGTTGAGGCAAATCCACCATTTGAATTTCTCTGTGAAGTTATCCATTTCATTATAGGTATGCCGTTACCGAAGTCTTGTTTAGCAGCTTGCACGAGAAGGGCATATGACGTCATCTCGATATCGATTGGGTTAGCCTGCGAGTGAGACGGTCTCCAATAGTTATGGCTGGATGAGCTGGTCTGGGCTTTGTGCCAGTGACGCATACCATCTTTAAGTGGAACATTAAATACATATATCCCAAAGTACCTTATCTTAAAAAACATGTTATAAAATGTTTTTTTAAGTCATTATTAAAAAGAGATATACTTTTGTTAAAGGAATAATCCCTTTGAATGAATAACAAGTGAAATATTAAATAACATGGCGCAATTATTACGGGGGGAAAATAAGAATTACCTTTAACAATTGCATCATTGTTCAATTTTGCGTAGGCGGTGTCAGCAGATGAACTCTTTGCAAGACGCAGGGCAAAACTACTAATAGCCAATGCATAATCATCAGTTGTTGTTGACAGTTGGCTCTCAACGTATCCTGTTGCCTTAGTGACAGCATTGTTGATTCTCTGCTGAATACTCTGGAATTATTTCATTCAAAAAGATGCCTATAGTAATCAAATGAATATCTTTATAAAGTTATATTCCTTTCAACGTGTACCTTTCGTCATAGAGATAGAAGCTTGTACTGACGTGCACGTTCCATGCAGGGGTCGTGTTAGAGAATCTTCTCGTGAAACTAATGGATATAATATTCTTTCCTACTACTTTTGTTGATTGATTTAGCGATTTTTTGAGAACTTTTGAATGCGATATTTTTAAAAACTAAATGCTGTTATGATCTTTATTAAAAAGGGATGAGGCTCACTTATAATTAGTTGCAACGAAATTTTCCGACAACTGTTTTGTTATTTTAGCATATACATTTACTACAATAACACTTACACCTCCGAGATCGTTATTTTCAAGAAGGGAAATCAGTACAAAGGCTGTGAGTCCTAGTCCAGATGCCGAACCTCCCTATAAAAACAATATAAAAACAATTAGATAAGAAACTATTTAATTTTTATTTTACTAATAGATATTGATATGTTCAATAATACTATTCATCTGGTCAATTTGTTTTCCAAATAACTGTTTCCTAGTAAAGCAGGCAGCATTTAAGTTGTCATAATTATCCTCCGTCTACGAAATAAGAAGGTGGATGTTGAAATGGCGTTGTCCGTCTCAAGCAATTCCTAATTTACCCGAATTTTCGCAGGAATGATTACATAAGCACCATAATACTAGTTTCATTATAAACCGCCGAGAGGTTTTATATCATGACTCCCTGTTACCTTAAACAGACAGTTAAAGGGAATTATCATATTTAGCAATACAAGTATTTTACAAGTGATAATTCATGGACAATCAAAATGTCACCTTATAAATCTTATAGGTATATATGTTGGTTACGTATGATATGATAAACATATCAAGGGAATGAACATGAACATCCATGCATATACATGTATGACAAGTCATAGAATCACTCTTTTATTGTACTGTCTTTAACAACAACATTGCTTTACCTGCATATCTTTGTGAATGACACGTCCAGGTTCTGGGAATGAACCATCTGCATTCTGTTTGCTTACCATCCAATCTATAGCACGTTTAATTGTGTCATCGTCAATAAATATCTGCTTCTTAGCCTGGTGGAAAGACTTTGTTACAAAGGCAGACAACCTGTTGGATGTAATTATGTACTCGACTTCAGAAGAAATTCGATCATTCAATTTATGTCATTGACATTCAATACTATTACCCCTACTATTAGAGAATGCGAGCTATTCTTTCTGTTAATTCAAGTGTACGTACAATGTGACATACATTTGTTACTGTTACATGGGTAACAGTACCTTTTTTTTCACGGAATTAAAGCCTATAGAAAGAGTGTCCCAGTGAAGTATTTGTTTAGGGTAATCAAACAAATAACACATATGTTTGTGAGATACATGTAAAATGTCATGACTCGTAAAAATACTGTTTTCTAGGGATAATACTTTGACTGATAATCACAAAACTATGTATTTTTCATATACTAGTTATTAACGGTTTAGGTACTTGCTAAATGATAAAACGTTTGCAACACAGGAAGACATCACATTTAGTATACCACTTAGTCGGACAGTAGAATACTTTTGATTTTTTTTAATATAAACTTAAGCCTTTAAAAAATATATGCTTGTAAAAGCTGTTAAAAGAAATAACAAACCACATGCTTCCTGATTTGTCTCTGTCCCCAAAGGCACTGAATGAGCCATCTTTATGTTGGAATGTTAATTCTCTTTGATATCCTAGATCGAAAATATGAGTCACATAACGGTTAGTAAGAAACATTTTATCAAATTTATATTAACATCTTGTTATATGTAAATTTGTTGTAATTAGACTATTTCAAGGCTTTTATAATTTGCTTGTTTGTTTTCTTTAGTGACGTTCTCAACAAATCTAATTGTGCATATATTTACGAAGATATGAATACTTAAATAGAGAAAAAACGGAAACACAAAGTTATCACATTATGTCATTTGAACATTGTTTAATACCATTTCTGCTGACTAGTTTACATATTTTAAGACATAAATACATGTATATACAAACACACATTAAAAAACAATGTACCTTTCTCGAGGAAATTGAGAGCCTTTTGTTCAATATCACCGGTTAGTTGGTTTGTAGCCGTCAAGTAATTGGTAACAAACACGTCTGGAGCAAATCCCAGCATTGTTTGTTCACCACATCCAGTGGGCATACGTAATAGCTTGTCAAGGTTGTTGACTGTTGGTCCCATTAAATCACCTGTTTTGATGATAAGAATGTAAATGTTGAATAAAAGTTATAAACGTTACTCCCATGGTGAATTGATTAATTGTCTCTAAGTAAACTCATTATTTAGCTATATACAAATATACTTGATCAACTTTAATACTACTTAAAGTATGAGTTACCAAAATTAGATTAAACAGAACAAGAGAGCTTTCATCAAAAATGTTTCAATGTCAGAATGTAAAAGCTAAGATTATTCCATATTACAATTACTCAGTTAAAGCAATATAAACAATTATTTTCTCATTTTATATGAATCAGTTTTCAATTGTAATGCTTGTGAATATATTTGCATTTTTATTTAGCATACCTATAGCAGATACAACAACTCTTTGTGATCCTGCAACAACACCTGCCGGTAATGATAGGGCGACATCTTTACTGAACGAAGTCACGTTTTTCAAGTCAATAAGTATGGGGTTACTATACTCCTTTGCCACGCCTTCAGGCTAAACAAAAGCACTTTCATTATTTACTTAAGATGAAAATGCGTTTAAAAAATATTCAAGGAAACATATGTTTTATACATGAAATTATAAAATTTGTCTCAATACCGGTATTACTCAAATACTGTTCAGGAAGGGATCATTCTATAAATGTCAAATCCAATTAGTTTTTTATCCTGTGAGCAATTTAACTGTATTTTTAGACTTTTATAGTTGTATATATACATATATAACAATAAAATTCATTTATCTCTTTCGAAAAAATTCATTCACGCCATGACAAAACAAAATATCATAAAAGTTCTTAAACTAACAGTTTTAATTGCTTGCCTTCGTTAACTTATTAATTAATATTGCAGGTATTTACCTCAATCAGAAGTTGTCTGCGTACAGCATCAGCAGCGAGAATAGATTGCGCCTTCACTGTGATTGGTATTTTACCAAGAGCTGCTGGAACAATTGGGAAAAACACGCTCTTTGCTGCCCCGGCGGCTACCTATAACAGTATATATTTAGTACAGAGTTATTACATATATTTTAAGACATCTCAGAACTGTTCTTCCATATTTAGTATTTGGTCTTTCCATTTTTGTCAAACCCGATTGGCTCAATAGGAAGAGCACTGGATTAGTATTTCAGGCGTCGCTGGTTCGATCCTCGGCCGAGACGTAAATTCTCATTGACAAATGATTTGTTTCATTGGGTCTATTAGTCGTTTGTCTCTTACAGCTGATTTTGATAATAATTTGGAATAAGAAGTCGGTCACTTGCGAAGAAACTGGTGATCGCTTGTCGAATATCTAGGAAATCCAAGTAGACGAATCGATTGCTGAGATATGACTAAAATATTGTGTAAAAATTGGCGCAAAACCCATAAAAACGATGCTTTTCTGCGATTGATTTGATTGTCTTCAATTAACGTTAATTGCTATTCTACTAAAAACAAGTTCAACATTGTCTTGAATTGAATTATTATTATCTAAGTGAATCTTACATGAATGTTTTGAACTAGTTGCTGTGAAACATACTGCACAGTTCCAGATGAATCTACAATAACATTCTTAAAATCATTTGACTGTTCCAGTGTCACAACAACCTGTAAATATAGCATACGAACACTGGTTAAAATGATTAGTCTTTACTCTAAATATTCAAAATGTTTTGTTAAAACTGACACTTCATATGGAATGAAAAACTAGATTTTTCGTTATTTAATTGTTTAAGTCACATAAAAATTGATACTGAGAAAAGGTTATAATAACATTGACTTACATCGAGATCTTGAGACATATAGTTGAAAACGTTTGCCTGTAAAGCTAGTTGTTCCCCTCTCACCACGGAGTAGGGTAAGTTCAAACTCACAAAAAACGGCTTGAATGCCTCAACCTGTACATATCCAATACAAAACCAAAATAACAACAGATTAATAAAAATATAAAATCATCTAGTCATCAGATTTCCTCGTTGTAACTACCACAATGTAACATAGATTAATGTATTTGACTTTCACTACCATTGAACAGTTTACACTTAATAAAAATTATCAAACTTATTTGCTGTTCAAAGCCGTGGACAATCTACTTGCCTTTGCAGTAGAAGAAGCCACTCCGAGGCCTGACGCTGAGTTGACGGCAAAGGCACTAGCAACCCATGATGTAATCGTGTCTGGAATTGTTGTGTTAATTGTAACTGTACCGTCAGCTCTGAAATGTCAAACTATAAGATAAGTTAAGGCATTTCTTGAAGAAAAAAGATTTTGTATGTACATAGAAATATATAGGATGTACGAATTCCGGACCTAGTAAAAATCGAAGTAACTGAAATATTTCTTTTAACACAATGTCATTAATTTTAGAACAAAAATACAATTTTACAGCACAATCTAAGGAAAATAAACATATTATGTACTTTAATTGCGTAAATAATACAATGCATGTGTTATCATTAAGTACGTTTGATTAATGATAAATGTTAATAAGTCGGTTTATAGTTACAACGCTTTGAAACATTACTGGGTGACAAATTTATTTAAGAAGCACATATATATATATCTTACTTCCAAAAATATAGCTCTAGTCTGTATAAGCATGTGTTGGATATAGCTGGATAACCTTTTCCATTAAAGCATGTGGCAAGCAACATAAAAAGCAACAACACAAACACATGCTACAAAAGCCTTTTTTAGAAAGTGAATGCGTGTTTTGTTGTTTATTTCAGCGTATCGCATAATTCAATACTAAACTGGTTACCGTACGAGGAATTCTAGATTCTTAATCAACTACCAAATTAAGGAGATTAATGGCATCAGCGAAGAAGGGTGTTGAGGAAAAACAGGCGCTGCGCTAGCATTGAACTCACAAATCCGTGGTGCATAGACTTAGTGCTGTTCTGTTGTTACTAATTGGTTTGGTCTCATCAGATTAAATACTAAATTGATTTAATTTAATAAAGGGTATAATTAAGCTTGTACAATAATTCCTCTTTTTATTTATTTTCACGTTGTTTAATAAGAATATTATAATACATGAATATGACTAAACAAAGTCGTATACCTAACTAAATGATTTGACCACAACCAAGTCTCAGGAAATACGGATCTTATGCTTTCTGTGTTTCGCATTGTTTGTGGTTGCGGGCGAGACCCCGGTGCAAGTGATTCTTTATCAGTAAGAAATTCGAATCTCCCATCTATAATTAATCAAACACAATCAGATATTTTACTGCAGCAAATACAACAAGAGTATTTCAAAACGGGGCCACGCTTGACCTTTCTTAATTATAAAGTCAAACACATAAGAGGAAGAATTTTAAAGTAAAGAGTAATCCTTCAAAACCATTTTATTTAAAAAATTTTGTAAAAATTTCGTAATTAATCTTGACGGTCAAGGTCTTTTTTTTAGGTCAAGTCATATCAGAATTAATCATCATGTTATGTTTTTTCATATGTGTTCTTTTGTCCAAAGGGAATTAAATCAATAAATGAATAATAAAATGATGAAAATTTCAGCAAATTTCAATAATTTGTCCCGTCGGTCTGTTCATTAACATGTCTAGAACATAATCAGTTTGGTCTTCTTAAAAGTCCTATCTACAGCCTTGTTATGTCCAAGTATGAGAAATCCATTTATACATTACAAAGTTATAGCCAATTATAGCAAGAATCAAGCACAATTTATTTATTTGACCACCAAGGTCAATATCATTAACACATAAAGGTCATAATAAATTTAATTTCCTTGAAGATCGTGTCCAAAGAAATACTGTCAAATACGGAAACAATCAATTTATAAGTAAAACAGCCAAATAAAATTATGGCAAAAATCAAGCAAAATTCAAATATTACACCTTAAAGGTCAATGTCATTGATGTGTCAATGTCAAATTTGATCTTGTTGATCTTGCGTGCTTAAAGGTCTTGTCCAAATGTCTGTTATGTCTAAGTGTGATGGCAACCCATTAAGAAACATAAAAAATAGGCAACGGTTAAGTCTCTTTACGGCAATAGAAATTTAGCAATAGTTCGAAATTTTCATTCAAGCTAAAAAGGAAAACAGGTCGTGTCCGGAACAATTTACTATTGTCATCTGTCAAACATAGCTGATCCTTGGTATTTAAAGCTACGAATACTTGACCAGTTTCTTAAAAGGTCTTGGTGATGTTTACAGCTTAGCACTTGCTCATTACATTCATAGCGTCCATCGTTCTATTCCCTACATTGAAAGTTGTATGATTATGATGATTATGTTTTGCTTTGGGAGGCAAGAAATTCGTTTTAATTATATAAAGGAGATGAAAGTTTGATATGACAATAATTTGAATTATTTTTGTTTACTGTTTATTGCAATGTTTATTATTCTAAAATGAAAGGTATTGTTAGGCAAGATATCATGGAGGAAACTAACGAGTTCCCATGTACAACACACAATGTGAGAAAAAAATGATAGAAACATATCAAATACTAATCAAAGAAATGTACGTGATGGAACAACATTGATATTGTATCAAAGAAATGCATGTGACAGAACGACCTTAATATGGTATATGACTCACAAATCAAAGACATGCCGAAACAATTTTGATGTGGTATTTTGGTAGTATCAATGAGATACGTATGTCATTGAAAGTAACTTAAAATATTACAGTTTCAATATAAGACTCTCTTAAAAATAGATTAAGAAATGCATATGTATGATCAACTTCACATTTGTAAAGTTTATATTTCTGTTTAATTGTTAACAATTTGTAATTTATTCTTATAATCGCACAATTTATTTTTTATACAGTTATCACAGTATAAATTTAGATAGTCTTCCTGTTTATAACATGTTAAAGCAACCTCACGTTTACTACTTTTGTTTCTAAATTATCTGTAGTTAATATCCATTATTTCTTTAATAATCTTGGCCAATATTTTAAGATTTGTTTTGTCAGGAGGTTCAAGTTCTTTGTGCTTTTGCTATCTATCACGATTTTTTTAAACAATCCAGAACAATATCCAACACAATGCGCATACACTAGAAGATTGCAATCACATTTCAAATAAGTCCTACCCTACAGAGGAATTACTCCAAAGCCAAGTCTCAGGAAAAGCTCTCCTTATTTTATCAACAGGCGCGTGCTGTTGTGTACCATGTGTCATTGCAGCACCGCCTGAAGCCGGCTTTACACTATCAATCGCCCCGGGCCCGGGTCCGCCCCCGCCCAATAAATATGCAAACTCAGGGTGAATATCTGTAAATTAGACAAATGATCGTGTCTCAAAATGTGTCTTTGTTTACTTAATGCATGAGCTTATGCTTTTATTAACCATGTGAAATGCAAAAGCTTTGCATGAACATTATGTGTGATGAATGTCCTTAAAAGTTAAAACAGTCCATTTAGTTTAACAAATGCATTTCAACCTCAAAAACGCTCGTGAATATAGGCCAATCGACCAGGAAATTAGTGGCAAATAATGATCAAGAAAATGAGAACAAAGACAAACAAGGCAAGGCGACTTGATGAAAACTGATACATATCATGTATATTCCTACAACAATCGTGTTGTTTTCCTTTCACTTATCATGATTTTATGAAACAGCTGTGATGTAGATCGTATGAAGAAACATTTGGTGGTTGATGCTTTTGTGTCTTAAAAACCATAAAGAATATACCGGTACATGTGCGACTCACTGGATATGATACAACAACCACAGCACTAAAAGCTACAACTGATAAGAGGAACAAGCTGTGTAATAAAGATAGCATAAAAAGAAAAGCCATTTTCACATCAAGCATAACATTTCATCAGTTATTACCCTATGAGTGAGTTACTCCATAGCCATGTTTCAGGAAACACGTTTCTAATCTTATCAACAGATGCTAATAGAGAGCTACTTGATTGAGACGCGAGACCGCCACCAGGAGCTGGAATCATACCGTTTCCCTTCTCAAATGCCATGTATGGATCTGTAAATTAATTGATGCCTTATCCCTAATATATTTCTTTAACTTTTAAAAGCTAAATATTCTCTACGTTACTAGCGTGATGATTTGTCAAACCCTGCATATATGTTTTGAAATCCATTTTTGATATTTGCTGACATTAAGGCGTTCATCTGCGTAGTAGAACTGCGCGCATGTTTAGCATAAACGTGATACTTTCAATAAAGCTGTATGAGTTTGAGTGACCATTTCACAAATTGCTACTTGTGTTGTACCTAAAACAAAGTGTTCTTCTAGCCTCTATTAACTATTTAAACTCTCTTCAGTACATCTAAGGATTAAGCATTTGAGATATAGGAACATCAAAGCAATAAATGAACTGTTGTCTGTTCGGAATTCACTAGTTAATTGTAATTATCCGGAATCTTTTTTCATTTGTATCATACCCAACAGAAGAGTTACTCCAGAGCCATGTCTCAGGAAAAACGCTTCGTATTTTATCAACAGATGCTGGTTTTTTAACATTACTTGGCTGAGTCATAGATGCTCCTGGTGCCGGCATAGGTATCATACCACCCGGAGCAAGTGCACCAGCAAACGCAAAGTCGGGATCTGTAAAATAAACTGATTCTGGTTTTCGTAGGCTTATAAGAAAGCAAAATATTGTAAAGAGTGGATAGAACTTTCATAGAAGCCATTGCTGGTTTCATATCAACACGATCTGGTAATGATGTGCTTATATTTGCCTGCCGGTTTTGCAAAGGGAGATTATTGTATCTTATTTCAACAATAGGTTAAAAGATAGAAGTGACCTCTTCAACTGTGCATGAGCATATTGTGACCATTTCAAAAACCCATAAAGTGTCTTCATTTTGTGGTGAGTTTACATTACCTGGCTGTAGAAGTCTATATCGTGAATATTGTGACTTCAGCATGTAAATTTAAGTAATGGTTTTTAGCCGTCGAATTTCTTATAATTATCTATTATATTGACAATTTGCAAGCAACAAATAAGGACATCACTTTCTACCATACTGTAATTAAGACACGACATGCAACAAACTTGCCACAAACTGTAAACCAAACATATATTAAACGTCCCGCATGTGTTTTGGAGCATATATCCTAAACATCGCAAGCTATGCAAAGAAAAAAATAACTAAAGAAAGAATAGTACGCAGTTGTTGTATTAGACCAAAGCCAAGTCTCAGGAAAAACATTTCGCACTTTATCAACCGCTGCTGACTTGGAAGTATCAGTATTTGTTTTCCTGGTTGGTGGAACAGTTACTCGCTCTAAGACAAAATGACCCCCACCTAGAAACCCAGAATGGAAGTCTGAAAACGAAAAGTAATAATTGGTTTTGTCCAAAAGTCCATATACAACACAATACATACATAAATATATTCAAGCATGTCATCGTGTAAATTTATTCATGGCGGAGAGGATGCAGAATGAAAGCCATCAAAATAAGAAACAAGTACAGAAAGATATTAAACGAAACATATTCGTTACGAATTGGTTGTCAAATGGCATCTGTCATGAGATTTCAACTTTGATCACATTGAACTCTTCTAATTGATGGATACTAAGTAGTGAATAAAATGTAATACAAAATATAATCACCATAGTATGATGTGATCTTTACATCAATATAGATTATATCATGCTACAATGTCGTGTATAGAATATTTTACATGAACGGATGTACAGCTTTATAAACATATTTGTGTAAGGCAATTTTCGGTTTCGAATTGGTCACAGGCTATGTAACGATTAACATGCTTTATAGACATATCAATAAGAAATCAAATTCTATCACATTTTATAGTACAAGAAACTTTCAATAATTTTGAATGTTTCCTGCTGCATTAACAATGTATGTTCTATATTAAGGAAACTATAAAATGCATACGAGTATTAACAAAAAGGTAAGAAAGTTACCGATATTTACTTTCTCCATTTTCATACTATTGATAATACAGGGTCTGAATTATTTGATTGGGACAAACTTGTGTTTGTCTGCAGGATATTTACAGAGTTACATAACTGGTGATTTTAAAACCCCTGTTACTTTTGTATAACTGCCGGATTAATATGAACGCTCGTGTTATTCAGTCTTCACTTTTAGAATTACGTTAAGTATTGACAGTATATCTTGTTTCTATTTTATTTCAATGACATTTCATATAAATAAACCAGATAACAGACTTGAAATGTACTAAAATACATAATCTGTATTTCTGATAAAATATTTCAAGTTAAATGTCAGTGATTTTAATATTGTCCATTGGATTTTTAATTAGATTCCGAATAAGTAGCATTAAATATGAACACATAAATATACTGGTGCTTGTAATGGAGTACATTTATTTAACCCGCCATTTCAACTTGCTTTAAAGTAGAAGACACAGTTGTGTCTTTTTTCTTGCCTTCTTATAATGATTTAAATAGTTATTCAGTTTTAAATTCTTAGTCCAAGATCAACTGTTGTCTTTAAAGCAAACTCATAACAGTGAAAAGCAGTATAAACAAGAAGATGAGTTTATAGGACAGATAGACATCACACTGACATTTATGTTTTGCAAAGCACTAGCAAACATAAGCTTTTTATCTTTGTTATATGATTAAGTGTATCCCTGTTATTTTAATTACTTCACAATAGAATCCGTCCACAGCCAGGTCTCTGGAAAAACGGAACGAACTTTCTCCACTGTTTTCATTCCAGAGGCAGAGTTAGGGGCCATGGGAGCTATTGGGTTTGGCATCGCTCCTCCAGCCATCGCCATCATAGGCCCGCCATTAATCATTCCCGGTAAAGGATAATCTAGGATTGTTTGGATATTGTAAACAAATCATTTGTTCTGACAAACGTATTAGATATAAATGTACTCTTGCTGCAGGAAAACCGCTATAACAGTATAAACTAGCATAAACAGTGAAAACTCCTCAATATCATGCAATAACATATTGGTAGTATCTCAGACTAATTACCGCACTGTGGAATGAGTCCACAACCATGTTTCGGGGAATACATTTCTAATTTTATCTACAGATTTTAAAGGTGCTGGACCGGAAGCAGAAGTCGCTGTTTGAGGCATGACACCCGCTGTTCCTCCGGCCAAACTGTTTACATTTGCACCAAAAAAGTGCATTTCTGGTCCTCGGATAGGGTCTTGAAATGTGCAATTGTATGAATATTTAATAGATAATTACGTGGACTGACAATTTGGAGGTTTATCTGTTTTGTATAATATTAGCTATTTCTAACGTTATACAATGCATTAATTGTTAGCTTATATCATGTAACAGTTAGCATTACTTATCTAAGATATCAAACAAAAGCATGAGACACATTTCTTGCTAGAACAAAAATAGTTTCCAAGGCAACAAATATAATTTCATCCAAAACAGTTTTGACTAAACCAACAAGTGATGTAACAGTCTGGATATGCATATATGAACAATCTTGTAGTACAAAATGAAATGTACACATATTTGTTTTATTGTGAATAATTGCTTGTATATATGATAAATAAGTACTTACAGTAATGCTGCTCCACATGATGGTAGACTGTGGCGTCTGTCATCACTCGAACTCCAGAATTCTAAATTTATAAATAATTGCAAAAGCATAAAGTTATCATTTTATCACAACCTATTGATGTTTAAAGTACATAAATATTGAACATTTTATTGTTTATTTCAAGAAGTTGTATTTCACCAATGGTCTGTCAAAATAAAAAGGAAATTTGGTAAATACTAGGAACATACTTGACCTATTAGTTTTGAGTCAATGCACACTCTATTAAACTGTTAAGCTGTATATATCTACATAGCAAATCCCAGATATTTTTACTGTACATTTTTGTAACCACTATTGTCAATGCCTGCGATTGAAAAGGGATTTGTTTGGGGTCTTCTTCGGTATATCTGTTAATGTTTGGCTCATTTATATATATTTGTTGCAGGAAAAAATCCCCGATTACAGTTGAACATAAATTTCCAATGTTGCTATTGTACATTTTAAGTAATGCTTGAATCTATTTTTCAATGCGATGATATCGCAGTAAAATAGTGCACCAAACTATTGGAAAAATGCAAACATAACGAGTATTTACCATTGTTTTGGTACCTATTTGCCTAGAATATTGCATAATAATGTTTATTATTCAAATAATAACAGTTAGACGGAAATAAGCTTTTTTTAAGGAAATGAGGGCTTATATTTGCTGTGACTCAATGTTACCGGAAACAAATGCCATGTGATAACCCACCTTGCTTTCAACGAACAAAAACTAATTAGGCTCAGATGTCACACTGTTTTTTTTTTCAGGTTATATATAAATGTGTAAAAGATGCTAATGGTTTGATGTCATAAGCGTGTTGCAATGTTTAAAGTTTGAAATGACATAATTAAGGAAATGGTCAACATAAGATTGCTCGATAAAAAGAATTTTAATGATAAATTCAGTTATTACAACTTGTATCATTTTAAGCTAAATATTGTCATACATTATGTTTCTATTATATTAAATGCAGATGTATATTTCGATAGAAGAGAATTTTCCTAATGCATTTAATATTCATAGTAACGGTATACTCACATCAAAGATATCTTGGGCATCGGATCCACCATAATATACGGGATAAGGCCACCATATAGCAAACCTCTTACGGCGGTTCACTGCCATTGGCATGAAGTCACAGCAGAATGGTGATCTGGCGTGCTTAATTGTGTCATATGATTTCAGCTCATCAATAACCTTTTTTGAAAAAAAAATTGCCGATATCAATAAATTCTTTTCGAGATGAAGAAATTGTGTCTAGGTCAATATAATTTTGTGGAGATTATATACAATTTTGTCCAGAGCATAATTCGAGAATACAATGTGCTTCCAGCATTTGATTGGATAAGATGTTGAAAGAAACTAAATGCGACATATTAAAAATAAAAGATAAGAAAACTCTAAGTTGACTGGATAAAATGAAAACTTCAAAGACTTTAAAAAACCAATTTTACTTCAGATGCTGTGACGTCATTTCCGGACTTCAGAAGGAGTACACTCTGATCTACTGCTAATAGGTTGACTACAGACTGAGGATCGGCTTTTACAATGACATTCACATTTTCACCTGGTTGAGCTTTTGATTTGTCGAAATCGATTGTTACCTATAGCACATGCGCAAAATATACATATTTAATAGATATATTTTCTAATTAACTGCTCAATAGGAACTTATCATAGTGCATACATAATACTCTGTAAATGTAACAACCCTGTTCAAAGAGAAACCAGAATCGTTATGGGTTTAGAACACTGAATTTCTTGCTATTAATCTTCTGTATTTTATAATAAAATGCTTAAAAAAGAAAAAAGTGTGCACAATAGCACAATGACAAGAAGATCTTTGTTTGTAAATAAAGGATCGGTATACTGAAACTGAACTATCCAATAAATACGGTGGGGGATTAAAATGGATCAGATTAAAAACAGGTTGTATTAAAGTAAAACGTGATGTAATTACTTGATTTTGGAAAGCGCCATCTACATCAAAGCTGATGCTGTCTGTAACAACTTCACCGTCTGTTCTTACATAGTAGACAATGATTCTAGCGTTTGGTGCCATCTCAGCGTCTATTGGAATGTTGAAATTGTTTCCATTGAAACTTCCAGTCGCAACCACTGAACCACGTGACATAACCTAGAAATAACCGAGATTCTATGTGTCTGGTGGTACATGTAAAATGTCTTTAGAAATGTAAAATATACCGGTATGTTGTATTAAATTCAGTAGTTGAAATGAACAATATGATCCTTTTTGTTTATTTAGCTTGTCATAATTGTATTCTTTTATTGTGATATTAGTGATTTTTTTACTGTTATTTTTCTGTTCGTTTGTTTGTTATAACCAGTTGCATATTTTATGCCTTGATTTAATAAAAACTGACCTGAACAGAAGCCTCGACACATTTTTATTTTACTCATTATAAACTTTTTGTCAACGCTTGTATGTAAATGCATTTCAATTGGTTAATTTGTCTATATAACATGATTTACCTGATACACAGCTGAGGGAATCGTCTCTGTTGATTTGATTTCAAATGTTGCTGTTTGTCCAGGCTGTAACAAAACAATTAAATAATTAATACTCTAAACAGTTAAACAAGAAATAATATTTTTGTTTCCGTTTAATTTCTAAGACTGACAGATTGTCTGACAGACAGACTGACTGACTGATAACACAAGAGAAGTACCATTTCTTCTACCTAATAAAAACTCGATTATTCTATCTATATAGATAAAGCTAAATACAAGAATTAATAGAATAATTGTAAACTATATACTCTGAGACTCGATGATTTTAGGAAGAGTTGCATGTAGTTATCACTTGGGGAATAACTTTTCGACAAGCTCAGTCTTGCGACGATTTTTCCGTAATGTGCCTGAAAGTAGAAAGCAAAAAACCGATGAACAACAGAACAAAAGAATAATAGTGCTTATCAGTTTTGAATTGTCTAACTGAAATTCATGAATATAATTGATTAGCAAGAAATAACGTTTTGCATGTAGATAGTTTAAAATATTTTTAGTGAGAATTGTTCACTTACTTCAACATTGATGTGGGTCGAGTTTTCAGGGATATCAACTTGTATTGGTACTATTCCTGCGTCAGGTACTGTAAAGGTTTGATCCGCCATGTAGTATGAATGCTGTGGAGCACTGTACCAGGGATATGGGGTTGAGGTACCCGAGTTCTCTTGCCACGTTGGTTGTACTTTAACAATTAGTGATTCACGTTTTCCTGTTATTGGTGTGTCATCTTGCTGAACAACTTTAAGCTGAACAATAATAGTATATCGTCATTACTTACGTTGTTTTTTCATATTTTATTATGCAAGGATTATGCTGGTGATGCTATCATTGTTTGTTCAATCTCATTGTTAACATACCAAAATGCAATTACAGGAAGATAATGTTGCAGTAATCAGTGAATTTTGAATCAAAATGTATCATGTTGTTTTAATGTGTGTGTTTTTTTTTTTATATACTCATATTTATTTATTTCGAACGTTCAGGAGCATACTTATATTTATTTCGATTACATACGTTAGATAAGAAATTTACTTACATAAGCTGTGTATGGAAGACCTGGTTTGAAGGTGTTTGGGTTTGATGGAAGGTATTCCAGTTTGACAGCATGGTCATAGATTTTGACTTGACTATCGCCATTTAATGTGATACTGTTTAAACTTTCTGTCACATTAGCTTCTACAAGAAACGAATGTCCAGTCAAATAATGGGCAGCTTGTTTAATCTGTGATAACTGCATTGTAAATGAGGCTTCTCCGTCAATCTAGAAATAAAGAAATAAACATTCTTAGAGAATATGATACTGTTTCCTTTACTAATCAATAGATAGTGAGAATAATGTAATGTTTGTTTTATACTTGTAGACAGTTCAGCATTAATGACCCGAGTAGGACTCGAACCACTATTAACAGCTTTTATAAATTGACGCTGTACCTATAATGATACTGCTCTTTGTATATATTAAGTAAAATTAGAAAGAAGAAATAATAAGAAAGAAAATTATCAAAAACATCATTTTAAACATTACCGATACTGATGCTTGTTTTGTCATCTATAGCATACAATGCATATGACATCTACGTAAGATTACATATATAACAAACAACTATTATCAAAACTTTTGGGAGCAGTAATTATTCTTTAAATATGACGATGGTATATTCAAATGAAACAAAAAATACATAGGGTCACCAAACATACCGACAAAGTTTGTGTAACTTGTGGTTCGTCACCATGGTAATTGTATGGTCTGTACCAATGATCGATCTTCAATCTTATATCCACAGTCCCTTTAACTGGCTTACCATAGGTATACCTAAATATTAATTAAATGTTTATTTACCCACAATATCGTTTTGTATTTATGATATGTTTTTTTACTCGTATTTTGCATTACAAGCCCCATCCGTTAGTTATTTAAAACATAAGTGTACTTTTGCGTATTTTGATCCACCAATTGATATACTATAAGGATTTTACACCGGCTGCCGCTACACACCGGAATTTCTAGCTCCAGGATAACTGTTTATGTGGTATTGAGGCTATGACGAGTTTTCGCTAAACAGTTACCCGAAAGCTAGATATTCTTGTCTGTGACGACAACAGATGTTTGATTCATTTTTTTTGCATATTACAAATTAAAGATATTACAAAAAGAAATTACGAAAAGCTAATATTTTCATTTAGCACTTTGTTTTATTATAGTAGCGTATGAATTGAAAACTTCATTCATAACGGCAAAATGACGTCGTCCTAAAAACGCAATTCATTCATAAAAAGCACGTGGGATTGATGACATTTAAAACATGCGACTTGTGTTACGTAGGGTAAAAACAGGTTTTTCTAGCACTCGTTCAATCCTGTCTGATATGTAAGAAAATCATATCTGACATGCATAAAGTAGTATATCTTAACATCTTGTTAAACTTTACATCTTAAACAATACTAATTTAGAACATTTAGTGCTTTAGTAGTAATATTTTGATTTAAGTCAGATATTCATTTTTGCAAACATATTGGTATAATTCCGACAAATTTATGTTCAGAAGGATTCAGATTTTAGTCTATACCATAAAAGTAAAGAAGGTATGTACGTTCTGATAAAAACAGCTCTAAATGAAAAAAGACGGTCTTGTCTTTGTACATAGCCTATCGACCGACAGTACATCTATTCACTTACGTTGCCTTGACCTTTCCAGTTACTGTGTCGTCTGATGACAAGATGTATGTAGGAAGTTCCACTGTTACTTCAAACTTAGGGAGAACTGTAGAAAACATAAGTAAGAAAATAGTAATGAATTCCTCCTTTGAACATATCTTTTAAGACATTGCATGTACATAACTGGTGATATAGTACTTGATTAGGAATTACAGATTTTAAAACAATTTGTAATAGCCCATGTCACACTCCTGTGTTGACACGGCGTTGTTTATTTGCGAAGGCGCCTTAATTTCGATCGCGAAAAAAATCAGATATTTTTCAGAACGTGTGACTGTCCTGACTATCGATATGCGTTAATTTGTCAAAACGTTTTACAACATATGTGTAAAAAGAAGTAAACATACCGTAATGTGCAACGGTGAAAGCCTTTTCTTCTGATCTTCCCTGTATAAAATGGATAGACTGTGGATTAGCAAATGGATTTGGTAACAGAAAAGATTTTTCATAAAAATCTAAGTACATGTACATGTATACAGAAAACTTCTGTCATGTAAAGCAAGATATGTCTATAAATGTGATGAGTTAGATATTTGGTCTAGGTCTTCCCCTTATCTTGTCACATGTGAATGTGATGTGTTTACCAGCTTTTGAAACAATACAAAGAAAAATTGCTGCAAAAGAGTGAAAGCATACAAAAAAGTGAAAGCATTGATTTTTTTAATTAAATTTTCTTACATGGGCCATGACTTTAATTTTCCAGTCTCCAAGGACAGGCTGACTGTCCATCAACATGAACTTTGTAACGACCCCGCTAGGATCCGATAAGCCCCTCCACTGCTTGATCTTGTTTGTCGCAGGATCCTACAATATAGATATCATTTTGTCATTTGTATCAATCATATAACTTTGCATCATTACTCATCAATATACATTTGCATTTGTTCCTTGTGCTTTTTCAGATCCATTGCTTTTTCAGATCCCTTGCTTTAATACATTGCTAGTATATTGATATAATAGAAAACATAAAAATGTAACATCAAAATGTCAAAATTGTATCATGAAAATTCTTACGTATATGTCGATGTCCATTGGCCCAGTGTAAACTGTCAAGTTAGGAAATACTGCAAAAGCTCGGAAATTGACTGAAACGACATAAAATGCACATCAAATAAACAAATAAGACATTAATTTGACTTTATTCATTGACTTAATACCACAGAGCTCCGTATATCTTGATTTCAACAAATCGTTGAATTTATAGAAAAATGTCAGAAACAAATAATGAATGTTGTAAATTGTGGACATAAATAGTATAAATACCTGTCTGTCCTGGCTTGTACATGGCTTTGTCTGTCTGTATAAACAGCGAAATACTTTTGCTTTCAAATGTTATAGTGGTCTCATTTGTGAATGTTGCCCCTCCTGACCCAGTAACGTGCAACTTGTATGAACCTGCGTGGACGTCATCCGGCACCTGTAATAAAAGATATTCATGTTTTATCTACATATATATAATATCTTATCATCATTATTAGTTACTGTTTTGTAAAACATCTGGCCTTAAATTCCAAGGATGTAATATTCAAAGACTTGCGTATATCAATTTTTAAAAAGTTTAATGATGGATAACGTACAATTCTTTTATTTACTTTTTTTATCTGTTTTTATCAAACGATTTATAAGCTGTTACTGTTCACATATATATATTTACCAGTAGTTGCAGAGTCCCTGGGGTCCCTGAAAATATATAAAACGGTCGAAATACTAAGTATGCCTACAATATATGTAAATAATATGTAAAGTTCATAATGAATAGTTATCTACAAACAAATCAGTTTAATAAGAGTGAAATAAATGTGCAGTAACAATTTAAGAAATAAAAGATACAAATGTATAACTCTACTAGTTTATTAATTTATATAAATATGCCACCTTTCTTCAGTGGGGAATAAAACTTATGAATTCATTAAATCAGTTATAAAGGTGGTTTAATGTAAAAATATGAGATAGACACGTATTATCATTAGTAAGAAACAATAAATAGATAAATGTAAAAATGTTTTTGATTGCGCATGCAATCGTTGTATTCTTTCTCTCAATTGGTATACCTTTCGAAAATGAGCCAGTGGCTGTAGCAACAGTTGTTTTTGATCCCTCGTTGACCAGAGATACTGTAACGCTGACAGGTGCCGTGGCCTTGAGAATATTCACGCTTACACTCAGTGGAAGACCACCTCGAAAACTGCTTGGCGTCAACACGACATAAGAACTGAAAATTGTAAATGAACTCTTTTTTATAATACTACATTTTGTATATTTTCAAAATCATGGTCTTTTTTCTGTTTATAATAACTGGAAGTGTAAAATTTCCAACATAATTTCTTAGAATAATTCATATTATTCTTATATACGTTCATCATAATACTTGCTTTTTAGTATCATAATATTTGCTTTTTAGTACATGTTTATATGCATTATATTTAATGTTTAAGTAGAACTTTATTGCTTCAGATCAGATGTTACAGACGGTCTTTTATTATGTTTATTTTAATTATTCTAATTGTGCATTAGTGCTCATACATAATACATGTATAAAGAAAACCTGAATCCCTAAAAATGCTCTACACGGCAAAATTGTAATTGTTGCAGGCTCGGTTTGATTGAGCCTATTCATGGACAGTACTGGAAAGTGTAAGTTACCACCCACGCCCCCTAGCACAGGCTTAAGCAGAATTCAACATTTAAACACGAAGGGTGATTACGAGTTTACAGTATCCAAGTAGGAATACTGGAACCACCCAAGCTGAAAAAGGTTCAATAGAAGAAACTAAAAGAAACACATAACACATATTCACAACAATAATGTCGGTCTGAACAGATCTCAAGGATCGAAAATATAACATCTTAGATTCAATGTACGGGGCGACTTTTTACAGCCACCACACGGCACACATAACACTGATGTGACAATGAAATAGAGTAAACCAGAATCCCTAAAGAATAGAGTAAACCAGAATCCCTAAAGCACAACACGGCAAAATTGAAAATGAAACCAATCTTTTCATATAGAATTTTTATCGCAGTTTATTTCCATTTTAATCAGTACTAGCAATGGTTTCTTAAGTTTGTATGTATGCTATGTAATATTATATAAGAAAATGATAACAGAGAAAATGTCTTTAGTATATTAAGATACTTCTTTGTTCAATGTTGTATTTGTATAATGAATGTTGTTTTATATAATTGTATTCGGATGACATTTTAAATGAAATGTACCTTATTGTCAGAAAATAATAATGAAGTCGACACTACGTTTAGTATAACATAGCAATTCTTTTACTTAAATTTGACTCACTTTACCTAACCGCATTATATTCTTTACCAGTGTATTTGTAATTCATTTGTTATCTATGACGACAAGTTAATAAAAACATTTGATAAACAAGGACTATGACAAACATCAAAGTTGTTTAACTTGTCTTATAGGACAAAACCAGCTGTTGCTTGAGAATTTCAAAATATTATTTCTCTCGATTAATTTTATTTAAACTTATGGCATACGTGACGAGTACCGTGTCAAGGTCATTGATCTAGTATCGTGTTGACATTGATGACATAGAACATTAAATAAAGAGCTATCTCTTTAATTTAAACTTCTAAAATAAACAGCTGATAACCCCTGCCGTGCGTCTAACTCATATCTTCTCATTTATCAAAGCGAACCTAAATCCTGCAAAAGTCATAATTCATTGCTAAAACAAAATTGCGTTCTTTATGCTTAAACACTTGAGATACTTTTTGCAAATAATGGTCTACATAAAAATGCACCTTACATTAATAACCTTGGAAACTTTGTACAAAAATTACTGAAACAAACATTGAACGTGTTTCTCGTGAATATGACGAATGTAGTTTTATTTTAAATTTTCAACAAGGATTTACACATATAGGCAGTTGGGGCATATATGATGTTGTCTGTCTTTAAGGGTGGGTTTTGACCGTCTCCGTTTATATCACAATTAACGAATGTGATTGTTCTTACACCGAAATATGTCAGTCTGGTTGCATTTTATCATTATTTCTTATAGATTAACAGATTCCGATCTGAATAGGAGACTTTTATTAACTCAAAATCCACACGACTAAAATTGATAACTACGGGCGAAATGTATAATAATTTTAAATTTTCTCTAAAATTCCGGTAATTTCAATCAAAACAGAACAAAACTATATTGAACATCCAAACTTACATTCAGTTTGAATAATTAGATCTTATAAAACAGTGCAGAAGATATTAGGGAACGCTTTTTGGCCACGATAGCAACACTACAAGGTTGGTATCGACAAACTTTTTAACAAAGTTTATAGATTGTCAATATTCTAGCATGTGTGGAACAAATGAAAACTATTGTAATAGATCTTTACTATTAATCACTGACCAAGTGTTACCCCGCCCCATCCCCGAGGCTGAGGAAGAAGTGAACCAAGTCTTTTTTACACACACTGTCGGCTCAATGCGGTGGTTTTGTTTTGGTGTCAAAATAACGGAAGATAAGTCACACTGGCTATGCAAGCGCATGATTAGGAATCTGACTGCTTTTGCAGGATGGGACTTTTCTATTATTTAAAACCCTCCATGTAGAGCATATAAAATGCAAAGAAAATAAATGAAAGTTCATTTCGGTAAGTCTCTATGAAAAATCTGCTTTTTAAAACTTAACTTCTTTTCAAAATTATAAAAAATCCCTCCTTGAATTGATTTAAGTACTATTTACGGAGACCGTTTGCACACAGTTTTTGTTATTAAATAAACTAATTTTAAAAGGTTGTATATTTGATATTATCTTCGCTACAAATAATCAGTTGTTAAACAGTGTGGCTGGATTAAACAGTTTTACTTAAAACGTATTATTGTACATGTACAATATAAAAAGTTTTTGTCGAATGTAACAGAATTTTATGACCATTTTTAAAAAGGGGAGAAATCTGATTTGACTCTCGATGGAGGAAGAAAAGTCATTGAAGTATACTTGCATCAGAGAGGACATAGATCGATCTAATATAGCGCGTGAAAGAAATTAACAATAACTTAAACAAAACTTACTCATCGGCAAGTGCGACCGCTAAGACGGTCGCTAGGAAAAAGATCTTCGACATACTGAAATGAAAAAATATCTTTTAAAAAACACAAGAATAAAGATCAACAAGGCAAAGGCAACGTTCACGGGAAATAAAGCCTAAATGTCCTCAATTTAATGCAACATGCTCCGAGATTCATGCTAATTTTCATGGAAAATTAAAAAAAAATGTATTTACAAATAAACTTTTGTGAAGTGATCAAAGAAAATAATTTACACATTGCAAACAGCAATTAATTATATTATACAATCCACATAAATTGCCCAAAAAAAGGTCGAAATAAGCAAAAATAGCTCTTACTGCGTTACTACGCAGTAGAAATGTAGTAATAAGTACTGCAAAATCGTTACTTAATCGTACATAACATGTAAATCATTACTTGAACCTAAAATCTTTTTACTTTTCTTTAAAATCTAAGTACATTATTCTCAAGTTTAATTTTCTTGAAATATTTTGGCTCATCTGGAGGCATGCAGCTTTAACACCTTTATGAAAATAATATGTTTTCAATAAAGTCATTCAATATTTACTTCGTATACCAATCTAACCTTTGAAACTATACAATTTTGTGTATAAAATATTTTCATTTAAAACTTTTTTATTTAATTATAAAATGTTTGAATGCTTACCTACTTTATCAACAGTGTCCCAGATCTATGCAAGAGTAGGGGACTCTCTGTCTTATTTATACAGCTGAGTGATCATGTCGTAGATATGATCATATCAACCAAAGAATTTTGTTTATCAAATAAGAATAAAGGTGAATGCATCTCGCAAAAGTTGACCCCATTTTCATCCAAAAATAATCCTGATTTGTGCTGAGTATTGAAATGCACTCAAAAACATTCGGGTTATCTGGTAAATTTATGATGATTTAGAAAAAACAAAAACTTTTCAATCTCTTATTTTTTTGTTGTTAGGTAAGCAGAGATTTCGTGTCTAAAATTTGTCATTTTTATTTCTTTCATGTTGGTTCCTTGCTAGTATCGATCATTACAAAAAGCCGTTGCACTATGCAAACACTCTTCACAGTAAAGTTATACGTTTTCACGTTAATTTATTTAAATGAACAATTAGGAAACCTACTGAAAGATAAAAATACTAGAATATATAGTGCAAACATGAACATTTAGAAGTGTATATCATACAACTGTTTACCCCGTGTCTCATTTGAAACGTGTAAAACAGTTATTGGGTAATTGACCGGAAGTCGGTAGAGAAAGAAATAATCCTTGACTTTTATCATTTCTTGTATGTATATATAATACATGAATATAAAAACAAATGTAGTTATACTATTGATCAGCTGCATTACGTGTTATCATAGCAGGGACAATATCATACGCTTATCTGATACGCTTATTTATTATTTTTTTAATTACTAATATATGATATGAATGAAATCTTTATTAAAGCAACTAACAATATTTGAATATTGCCAATCCCTCTTACGAGTGTTCTAGGCAAGAAATAGGTGCACGGCGGATTGTTAGTGTAGTAAAAGGTTAATGAATTATGAAGTCCAGACATTGTAAGCATGAGGTGACAATGGAAAATTATTCTTATTATGCTTAAAATGTTAAAAGTTAGGAAAAAAAGATAAAATAGTACAGACTAATACGTGCACTGCAACCCTATAAATGCCCGCTTAAGTTGAGCTATGACGAGCAGGGTGACACTGTTGCCAGATAGTTTATTCCAAAGTACAATGCTGTGGAGAAAGGAATACTTGCGGTAGTCGAAGTAAACTTGTATTTCACGTAGCGATAAGAGGTTCATATGTCTGATTCACTCATGTGAACATATGATGAGAAATCATTTGTAACTAGGTTATGTTATACATGTATCTTGTAAAACATAATCAAAATCTGGATAAATTGTTCTCCCTGGGAAGCATTAAACACAAAAAAATACATGAAAATTGCAGACTCGGTCGGAACGCCAGTTCAGTTTTTTTATGCATGACTGTGAGGCTTGAGGAATGGAGAAATCCTATTTTACCCGTGGTATTGCACGCCTTACGCCTCTTGATCATCTCTACTTTGTCAACATAATGAGTTAAGTATAGGTAGACCAGATGGATGATGCATATTCAATATACATGGCCAGGCCAGGGACTAGTATGCTAGCTCTTTAATTTTCTTGCTATTTTATTTATTTATTTTTTTCTTTCGGTATTTACATTATTTTTGATAAAGTAAAGGGATCGATCTGTATGCATTGGAAGTTGCGAGATATATGTGTATTAAAGACGGATCTTGTCTCAGATATATTTAGCATTAGAGACCGATTTTTTGACTATGCCATAGACTATATGTATTTAATTGAAGTTTTAATTTTGATGATATGAATGACTTGATACCTGCATCTGCAAATAATCTGACTTGTGATCTAAGAAGGTAGCTTGCTGATGTAGAGAATGAAACAAAAGGGAATAGAACAATGGTGGTTAAGTTCGTCCTTGAAGGAAATCCAGGCTTTGTTGGGATCAGTGTGGTGTATTTCACTGTAGACCTTGACATATTTACTTACATCATTTTTTTTTTACACAATTCCAGTTTGCCTTATTATAACAATGGATTTCCCTATTTGATTGAAGTGGACGCCCTCTGTTAATTTTGATTTCATGGAAGACTATGTCTGAGGAGCTTAAGGGAGGTAGGGTTTTTGTACTATGTACATGGGAAGGCATGTTTGTATGGAAAAGGTCAAGGACGTAGTTACCTCTCGTAGGGATGTTGACCATTTGCTGTAGGTTTAAGTTAATGAGGTTTTCAAGGAGAGAAGTGTATATTTTTGGGAACTTACAACCTTCTATCAGGGATTCTATTGACCAGTTGATGCTTGTCATATTGAAGTCCCCAAGCACCCAGACAATACTATTTTTTGGGATCTTTTTTATGGATGACCAAAGTTCATTGAGGGGTATCTCATCCATCTCGTTAGGCTATAGAAGGAAGAGATATAGATGTCTTTAAAACCTATAAGGGATATTTTGGCCAAAACTGAGTTATATTTTGATTTCAGATCGGGTTGTTCCTGGCTCTGGATGGAGTTCGATATGACAATGAGGGTTTCCCCACCTTTGCCCTCTAGTCTATCATCCCTATATACCTGGAAGTTTAAGAAGTCAGAAAAAAATTCAGCTGTTGATATTCCAGGTTTTAGCCATGTTTCTATACAGCAAATAACGTCAGGGTTGTCTTCGGATATTACCTGTTGTAAATCTGGTGTCTTATTTTAAATAAAGCGGCAATTTTATATAAGAAGCAAAACCTTTCTCACACTCTAAGTTTTTTGCTGTCCTTTGGAGGATGACACTTATTTTTGGGATTTCGGGTGGAAATAGCAATTGGTTGTGTGCCTGGACTGCTTGAACTAATGTGTGATCTATGGGGGAGAGAAGACATCACTATCTTCACTCATAATGGAATTGAGAGGAGAGAATCTAGTATATTCATACAATGAATTTAGGGACTCAGACAGAGAAGTAGAATAATTTATACTTCCACAGTTTGGTTTGCAGTGCCAAACAAATCTGGAATCTGATGGGCAGTCATATGTGGAGTTTTCCTATACCTTGGCAGTTTTGCAATGGAACTATATATTACATGAAGTCCAAGAGGGATCCCCATTTATGGACTTTTTCTTACCCCCATTCAATAATGGGGAACCCATGGGGCCCTATGGGCCCCTTATGGGCCCATTTGGGGCTGCCCAATTTATGGGCCCGCTAATAGGAAGTGCAACCGGGTTCCAAATGGGTCCCATCTGGGCAGCCCTTATACTCAATATGGGATTCAACATGGGCCCCATCTGGGCAGCCCATGTACACAATATGGGCCCACATGGGCAGCCCTTGTACTAAATATGGGTTTTCAAATGGGCTAGCCCAGATACTTCCATTTTGGGTAGATTTTGAATTCCGGGGTAGATCTATTTTCAATTACTTCAATTATAAGTTTTGCTGAACGTTTAGATAGCAACCGCTTGCTACAGAGCATGATTTTGTACTTGCGTTAAATATTCAAGTGATGTTTTAACTCATTCTGTTTCCTGGAACAGACAGATTATGGCACAAAGCCTTTATGATCATGCAAGAAAACAATACACAATGTATATGCTTTAACAATGTAACTTTATTTAGTAATCTCACTTATGGTAAGTGTATATCATATATATATACAGATTCTCAATACATTCTGTGGACGCCTGATGTCAACAAAGAAACCTTTACTTATGTAAATAAACTTAGAAAAGTGTACAATATAAAAATCCGAGTAAACTGTACATATTTGTAAATCCACAGGATTTCATTTTGACTACATAGTTTTTAATTAAAAAATACAGAAATATTAATTATTATTCAAAAAGTCCTATGTAGTAAATATTACTTTGGTACACTAAATAAGCAACATGTAATGGAAAACTGTTTATAATGTACGAACAAAATAATTAAAAATGCAGTTTTATAACATTAGATACATTAGATACCTTACAGATCACTATAAGGAAAAATGAAACTTATGCTAGACACTGGTAAAACTTTACAGAAGGTCTTTGGAACTCCAAGAAATATATGTGTATAATGTTTAAATTTCAGTGAATCAACAGTATGACCCCAAATGTCTTTTTAACTTTCTACATAATTCATAGAAAAAGTATTATACATTTACTGTAATTCATTACAAATTTCTATCTACCAATTACTTTCATTTTCAAATGATATAGATCTACATCAATTAATATAAAAAGTTGTTCATTACAACCATGTATTACACTTTGGTATGGTAGTGCTGAAGAAAAAAATGTTATGCAGCTCGTGAAAAGTAACAAATATAATAAAACAAAACCTTGGCACGGTTGTAATACTGTTCATAGATGTGTGAACAAAATATTATGCAGCTGATGAAAAAAATTAATATAATTAACAAAACCTTGGCACGGTTGTAATACTGTTCATAGATGTGTAAACAAAATATTATGCAGCTGCTGAAAAAAATTAATATAATTAACAAAACCTTGGCACGGTTGTAATACTGTTTATAGACGTGTGGACAAAATATGCAGCTAATGAAAAGTAACAAATATAATACACAAAAGGTTGGCACTGTTGTAATTGTCAACAAAATATGCAGCTAATGTAAAGTAACAAAAAGTAATACAAAAGGTTGGCACGGTTGTAATACTGTTTATATAGACGTGTTAACAAAATATGCAGCTAAAGTAACAAATATGATACACAAAAGGTTGGCACGGTTGTAATTCTGTTAATAGACGTGTAAACAAAATATGCAGCTAATGAAAAGTAACAAATATAATACACAAAATCTTGGCACATTGAAATACTGTTTATAGACATGTAAACAAAATATGCAGCTGATGAAAAGTAAAAAATAGTTTGTACAAGTTTGTAAAAATCAATAATAATTAAAATGTGATATTACACAAAGATCAAATTTTGTTGTGAAGAAATTCATTAAAAAAATTGTCAGTAAAAATAGTTGGTTTCAGTAATTTCTCCGATATTATCAAAGTTTCAACAATAACAACAATAAAGATTACAAGAATCATCATTGTAAAGTATTTCAACTTTATTTTAAAGGTTAATACCATATCAATACATGTGTTCCCTGTTAGTGTCAAGTTTTGACAAGATGTTATAATTGTATTGATCAGTATCAAAAACATTCCCCAAGCATTTAATGTCTTGATTTAAATAGTAACAATGTTTTTTGTTTGTTTGTTTCATTTTACGCCTTTAACATCATATAGGCGGGTAGTTTCCTAACCATCGTTTCTGGAGAGTTACACCAGTACAAGACTACCTTCCTCCGTGCAGTAACAATGTTTAATGGAAAAAAAAAAACAACAGCATATAGACAACAGAAAAACAGCATATAATGTCAACAACAAACATAACATAGCAGCAGAATATACTGACTAGAAGGCAAAATTTGACTAGACAAGAATTTTGCATTTACAAGAAAGACATGCTATGCTGATGACCTCAAACATTAAAATTAGCAACAAAAAGTATAACAAGATAAACAAACGAGCCGCTTACTGTAGTTCTGACCCTTATTACATTTTAAAAATAACTTATATGCAGATGAAGTAAAGGTTTGAAAATGTAAAATAAGTCATTTATTTTATGCTTTTGAGTGTATTAATGATGTGTCCGTGAAAAATATATTTGATAATTTCACAGTGAAATTATTAAAATTTCAAACTTTTCTATCACGAGACTACTTTTTAAAGATTTTATCATCATTCAAATTTTTTGAATTCAATAAATAATATCATGGCTATTCAACGTTGATTGTCAAACTTATTTTTCAGCCCAAGACTTCCTGTGTTTATGAGAAATTGGACTTAAATTCAACTAAAATTGATGTTAACAGTGGGGAAAACAGATTTAATATTAACGTTAATATTGAGGAAATTTCATTAGCATAAAATAAAAAGACACTTTATTGTTTGTTGTGTAAGATGTAATTTTATATCATTGAAGGAACTTTAAAAAACAGTGTTCTCACGAGCGCATAGCCACTCATGAGATTACTGTTTTTAAAGCTCTCTTGATGATATAAAATTTCATCTTACACACAAACAAACAAATATCCTCTATAAATTTGCATTTTTAAATTAAAAAAATGTCTAGTCACTTCCTTCATTTTCTTCAGGTAAGGTCTCTGACACTTTATTTCTTGCTTTCCTTCCCCCATCGCGGTCCCGCCCCCCAGCCAGCCACTTTGAAACCTCTATTTCAACATCCTTCCTCGTTGCAGCCTTTGTCGGCAAGTTCCTTTGGACACATTCTACAAAACAAGCATTCTTATCCTTAAAGAATGAAATGAAGTGAAATGAAGGTATTGAAACCATTCAAAGGTCATAAGCCACTTGTAGCATTTTGAGCAGTATAAATTGGAATATAAACTAATTCTGGTATGTTTTACCAAATATAGATGTTTGTTTCCTGGTTTTACATAGCTTTTAACAATATTTCTGTGATATCGCTGCAGTCAGTTGTAAGCTGAGATCATCTTATCGGTGTATCAGTAAAGAATGTTAAGGTAAGCAAATAACTTGCTTTACAGGAAGGTGATTTCTGTTTATATTATGCATCACAACACAATGCATGGGATCAAAACCACACAGCATGTAAAATATTCTCTCTTATTAATTTCCATAAAAGCTAGTCAAGCATTTTCCTTCATTAAAGCAATACCCGAAGACACAATAACAAGATCTTGGATAATATATCTATTTTGAAGACACCACTTTGCAAATTTGTAAAATATCACTTACCATATAATACATTCAGTATCTAGAGGCCCACAAACTTTTTCTTCCCCTTCAGCCACTTCATATTGTACATTCTTGCCAGTTCATTTGACATGGTTCCTTTCATCAAGCGGTCAACAGTTTCCCGTACATCTGCCATACCAAACATTGAGAGGAACCGCACCTTAAATAAAGCAGAACATAAACTTTTTTTAATGTTAATTTTAACACTATTAAGTGATGGGCTGCAAGTCACCAAATGACAAATAATTGTCAACTGGACCTCAAAAACATAATCTGCCAAGAAAACAGTTTGGATTGACAAATTAAAAGATCTTTCCTCATATATTTACAGCCTAGGACAACACCTTAGTGACTTGTGCCTTTATGTTTGTCCCCTCCACCGAGTGTTATGGGGCACATTATCATTGTTTTTTTTTTTATACAAGAGTTTATTCAATATCAACAGAATAATTTTTGATAATATAATAACAGCTCAATTCCTGGATTTTGTGGGTACTAGTCATTTTCCTGGTATTTTGAAAGCTGCCAGCATTTTGATTAATGAATTGACTGTCTTGTCCTAATTAATAATTAATGTTAAAAACGAGGCCAACTGCCCATGTCTTGTGCTCATGGCTATTATAGCATATATAAATAACATACAATAAATGTAACTGTGTCAATATGAATCAAAAAATTAAAACATGCCAGTTTTTAATTCTGAAATTAATGCAGCAAAGTGTTTGTCCACTGTGCAATATTTTCCAACATAAATATAGCAGAATGATTATACATTATCATCAAGTGCTCACCACAGACCATTATGTTATTTCACTTTTAGGCCAGTGGATATGGGGTATACTTTTTCAGTTACTAATGGAGCAACATACATGACTAACACTATGCTTACCACAGATGAGAGCATTGTCTGATCTCCCAGAAGCTTATCGAATGCTTCCATCTGCACAGGATAACGAATAGGGAATGAGATATCTTTCGGAAGTTGCAGCGGTTGGTCATCTGCTGCTGACCTTTATAACAGCATTCGCTGCACCATCCTCTTAATTTCACGATTCTTCTCTCGCATTGTCTCCAAGACTCGGAGAATCTGTGTAACAGCAGCTGAAAAAAAGGATTCATAATTCTAGGCCATATACTTTTAGAGCTATGTGTGGTCTGGATCCAAGCTGGTCGCAAACCCATTATGTTGGTTTTGTCATGACCCCGCTCAAATGAAAAAAATCCAGTATTTTAAATTTTTCCTTGGCTTTAATAGTAATTAACGCTAAAATCTCAAAAGGATTGTTGAGTGTGCAAGGTCACAAAATGTGAAAATGATAAGAAATCATGAATTAAACTTAACATATTTTTGAGCCTAGGCATGTCATTTGGTGAAAATAAACATTCTTGACTCTTCTCGGGACCGTAACTTTGGATAACAGTAGTGGGGTCAGGCAAGAATATGCGCACAAATTCACATCATGATAAAGACTAACACAAGTAATCATCAATTTCTTTTGAATATTTTTTGAACTAGGGGCGTCACAAGGTGAAACTTTCCATTTTTGTCTGTGTCACTCAATCCAGCTTGTTATAACATTTATTGACTTGTTTTGAGAATATAACATTTAATAAGTATGTACTGTAATAATAAATATATTTATAGCTCCGAAGTTTATACTTACTGGGCCCAATAATCTGCCCACGGAAGGGTGTATCAGAAGCACCTTGTATTGGAGAAGCACTTTGCACATCACTGCTGGCCTCTCGCAATGCCTGTGCAGATAAGCGAGGCGGAGATGAAAGTAGGCTTTGTGACTCTTTGGGCGTTGTTGCTTGGTCAATAACTTGTGGTGGCCTACTCTCTGTGTCTGTCTCATTCTCATCAGTGCCACTATCCGATTCATACAGCCTTTTTGATGGCCTATTTACAATAAAATGAAAATACATTGATAAGTAATTATAAAATACATATACATTAAGTGAGTTATTGCGCCAAGTGACAATATGATTATGACCCGTAATCGGCTGGCAAACATGTACTAGTCTATGTTTACGTACCGAATTGTTGTGCCGCAGTTTTGTCTACCAAGGATTTTAGCACGAATGAGTTTGTTTCCCCCGATAGCAGTGATTTTTCTCTCCTAATTGGGAAGAGGCCTTAGACTCTCCATTTTGGGAAAAATTAACACTAAAAATGCTGAATTGGGAAGTAAAAAAGCTGGTTTAAGTTCAGATTTTTGGGAAAACTGCATGATTTTAAAGAAAATATCAATTGGGAAGAGGCCTTTTTTCGGAGTCTGTTATATAAGTTGGAAAATCACTGGATAGATATTTCATGAACGGGAAGGGCTAAAGACTTGGTCCCATTTGGAAGTTTAATACAAACGTGAAAGTGATAAAATATTTTTTTAATTGTCTGGACAATTGTTTTCACAACGGCCCGGGAAGTGAATCCCTTGCTTGCAGGCTCGAATCTGGAGTTTCTGGCCTTCTCTTAACTTAAAGTATGTTTTTAAAGGGGGGTATAATTTACAATTTTTTTCGGTTTTTGACCTTTTAAAGATGAACACAGGTTTAATTATCTTTCGGGTCATATTTTTTCTTCCCAGGTCCGATACTCGTGCCTGTGCAACATAGGGCTTGGTTGGTACTTGGAAAAAATACTTGAATTTGTAATAATAAGTATTTGCATTTAATATTTTAAAATGCTTATGAATGAAATATTGGTACAAAATGGAAGGGACTTCTAAGGCTAGGAGGGGTCACTGGATTTCAAATGATGGTGTCCCTTTAAAAAAAGATCTCTTAAAATTTTGTCTAGATAGAAACAATATTATTAAAATGTTAGTGTCAACTTCGTAACAGTTAAGTAAGTCAACAATAACAACTATACACATCCATAGGTCAGCTAAAGTGCCCTATAGTGGGCGTAAATTCTAGAAAATGTCGCAAATTAAACTGACAAACGACTATCGCGAAATTACATGGCAAAGGCAAAAACAAAAAATAAATGACGTTTACACTTACCTACACACACAATAAATGTGTAAGGATATAATATGAAAGGTCGTTATACGAAATCGTTGTTAAATGTTCCGAATTGAAAAGAAATATTGTTTTCGTGTACAATTTTACAATTTTACGTTTCAATACACAATTTGATTTTAAGCGGCAGCGGAAATCACGTCTGCGCATGCTCGAAATAAATTTTTCATCAAATGTTGATTTTTATAAATAATTTCTGAATTAATAGTCTAAAAAACACATTTTTATATTTAGATTATAAAGATTAAAACCAATATAAAAACAAAACAAATTAATTTCTCGCACCTGCTCAGGCATGCTAATATTTATCGGGTTGCCCAAATGGGACCCATATGGGTCCCTCATGGCTTGTATATATGTTAATGCTACGATTTTTATATAAGATAATAGCAATTAATGCCAAGGTGGGCACACTATAGCTCAAAGTAAACGAGTTTTAAAGAAATAAATAAACGAAAAATCGTTTTTCCTTAAAGTGCTGTAATATGGGACCCATATGGGTCCAATATGGGCGTACCCAAATGGACTTGCCCATATTGGTCCCATATAGGTCCAATATGGGCATACCCATATGGGCTTGCCTAGATATAGCCCATATGGGTCCCATATATGCATGTTTGCTGGGTACAGCTTCCACCAAGAATAGTGGGAATTATCAGCTGACTTAGGTCCAGGTTTTAATTCAACATCTGACGATTGTGTGATAAGTAGGCAATGTAGAAAACAAGGGAGGCTTTCCGTTGACAGAGAACTCTTCGAGGCGGGGTTTTAAGTCTAATGCTGTTTAAAATATACATGGTTGGGCTTCATTTGCACTAATCTAATCATAAGGAATATGGTCGGTGGTCAGGGACTTAAAATTAGAAGAAACAGATGATATAAGCATGTCTTCTCAAAGTGCCTTCGCTTATGTTGTCAGACTGGCAGCTTTGTCGGCATTGGTGTTTAAGTGAAAGTGGTGTAACTAGAGAGAAAACTGACTGAAATTGTTTGTTAAGAATGATTGATTATGTTAAGAGAGTAATACTGTATTGTTTTCTTATGAAAATTGAATATATCTTTTAGTCTCTAGAATAATTAGCCTTGTGATAGGCAGAAAATTTTAAAGAATATGGGTAGTCCTCTTTGAAGCAAAACATTAACGCTTCAACTCAAATATAACAAGCTCTTTTCATTTTTTTGTGCCAGGTATGTCATTCTCTTAAAAAGGTCACATCTTTAGCATGAAAAACTCATTTTGAGACCAGTTTTCATGATGTAAGTCTATTGAAAAATCAAAATAGTGGCTTGACCTAAAATAGTACCGCGGAACCTATTTCTTCATTTTTACACGGAAAGGAACGGCAAAAAGTATCAGACGCATGCGCACACAGTTCTTCCTGTGCGGACGATACAAATACAAACAAACTTTAAAATTAGAAAACAACCCAATTAATTGAATTCATTGACTCTCTTACTGAGATCGTAAATGACAGTGATTGCAAAATTATTATTTAATATGATTTAAATAATTATTATCAAAACTGTGTTAATGAAGTCATTGAAATGGCGACATCAGCTGGATTTTCAATCGCGACTTCGCCACCAGAAGTGATTAGCGGGGCTTCAAGTCCAAGTAAAGCAGGGAGATTAAATAATTCTCGCAAACCACCTACAGCTGCTCAGTTACTTGAGCAGATAAGACAGTTAGAGGCTGAAGGACATAAGCTGAGGTCTGAGGCTGCTGGATCAGGTAAAAGACATTTGCAAAATTGTTGACAAAACATGATTGGACTTGTTTCAGTTTTGAAAAATTGAGTTTTTTTTGTTTACATAGATCTTATAAGAATAACAAACTTGTTTTTATGCTGCTACAAGTGGAAATTTTTAAGAAGTTTGTCATGAGAATGTATGACACAGATTAAATAAAACAGATGAATTTTCATCTTACTTTCTTATCTAAAAATTGCCAAAACAGATACTGTATGATAATGATGTGTCCAATTCATTCCCTATCTTCTATCTATCTTCCTTATAGTCATACCCCTGCTGGGGACCTAGACCTACCCCACAAACTTATCTCAGTTGAATAACACTCATTTTGAATAATCTTAAACCAGTATTTGAAGTACTGGCTTCAAATTTCTACTCGTCCTGCATGCTTTGCTACTCGTCCTGCATTTTTGCCTCGATTTTCAAGATAGACTTCGCCGATGCAAAAGTACAAATAAAACAACTCATAAGCATAAAAAACAAGGACATTCTAACTTAAAACTATTAATTACATATATACAATGTACTTTGTATCATGTAAATATGTTATGCTTATCAATATATTTATCAAGTTGTTACTGTAAAAGTTTGTATGTACCCTGGGATGACATTTTCCAAGTTCAGGAGTATGTCTATTATAATAGTTTATGCTTCAAAAGATGGTCATTTCAGATTTCTATTTTTAACGAGACAAAAAATCCTCTTCTGTAGGATGCCTCTGTGGTAGTCAGCTGATTTCTGGGATAGAGATCCAGGACATTTTACCATATATGACAACTAAGAATAGAGTTCAGTTATCTTCTGACTTCATAATTGCTTCATTGTAATATAAAAAAAGTAATTTCATTTGCTTGTTTAATTATTATATTTTCAGGATCACTGAATTTCAGTACTCTTGCGGATCTGAATTTATCAAACAATAACACATCAGAGGTATGATTTCATTTACACTTTATTATTAGTAACTAAATTTGACCATTGAAGTAATTTGTGCAGTGAACATTTAAGGTATTTAAAATAGTAATCAACAAAATAGTTTATTTTAAATTTTGTTTTAGTTGCAAACATGCATAAGATTATGCTTTACCATTATCTTGATGAACTCATTCAATTGACCATTAAATTCTTATTTTAATTTAGAACAAATTTCAATGTATTCAATAGTGTTGCACTCCAGCAGTTAGATGTGTGTACTAGGGTCACATATGGATGTGCAAGCTGGCCTGAATATACTGGTGACTGATCTGTTATCATTGTTTTTATTTTTTTATAAGACTTTGAAACTGTGTACTGATTCAAATGATTGATGTTGTGCATAATAAGGAGTTTTGTTATGTGTGACTATGTATTCATTTCTTGTTTTAATGTATAGATGCATACATTTTATTTGAGTAGTTTAACATTATCAACAATTAATTTACAGCTTCCAAAATTTACATCAACATCACCATCATCACTGTCAGCATTAGTAGATTACTCTGCCGAGCAGAAAACTATCTCTGACCTCAGGTAAATAACACTTTGACATAACTTTAATACATGTAGGTAATTTACTCAACAGGGGTATCCATGACCAAGTGGTTAGATCATTCACTTCAAAGGATCTGCGCTAGCTTCTTTGGATTTAATTTTCATGTGAGCAAGCAATCCTGCTAGCTTACGGAACGGAATGTGGGTTGTTCTACTCGGGTGCTCAGATGTTTGTAATTATTATTAAATCACTGAAGGAAAGAGAAACAACAAAGAAAGAACCAAGAGAAAAACCAACAAAATATTTCCTTGACAATGATAACTGGAGGAAAAAAACCTATCTAGGTCATTTTGAATGTTCATTTCATTATAAAAAACACATATTTTTCCGATGAGGTTAGTAATTTTAGAGAGAAATGTTTTTTAAGCTTAGTTACAAATAGATAGAACTACATAAGACTAAAGACAGAATTCTGTGTATGATATTTTATTACAGGTTACAGCTTGAAAGGCAGCGTAAAGAGACAGAAAAATTAAATACTCAATTGATCAGTGATGGATTTTCCACTAGTACATCTCGTGCTGGAACTGTCCTTCATATGCCCAGTAGTCCTTCCAAAACTGGTTTCTCCACATTGCCATCAACAGAATTGTTTAGCTCCCGGAGACCAGCTAGTGTGACAGGAGCCATAGGTCATATGGAGACCACACCTCCGTATGTTGACTTCTTATATTATCATATATTATCATGGCCCCTGTTCAATAATTAATAACAGTCTTGTTTATATGTTTGAATTTACGGTTAGCTGATTAAAAAACAGATCTGAACTTAGCCATGACTACAGTTTACCAGGTAGTCATTGTTGTATTGTAAACTAATTGCTCCTAAAATAAATGACAATGTTTTGCAGATCACTTAAAAGCAGATTAAGAAAGCTTGATTTATTTGCTTGTTATCTTAAGAGCTCTATTTCTAGGATTAGTATTGTGATTTGTATTTAGATGTCTAAAATTTATAATTTCAATTTAGATTTATTTACAGGCACCTTCACTTGAAGTTTGGTTTATAATAGGCTCAATGTTAAAATGAAACACTTAATTGTACAAAGAATAATTTCAGAATAATGAGGTAATAGATGTTGAAACATTAATGGAAGAAAATTGAATAATTTCAGGTCTCATTTGGAAAAAGCTTTAAAAGATTCACAAGAACAAGTGACTGATCTACGTCGAAGACTGGTTGAGGTAAGAATTAGTTTACAAATAGCTTAATCACTTTAATTACAATATTGTCCTGTCTATCCAGTAGTATTGCCTCCAATTAACCACTAGGCCATTGCTGCCTGTCAATGTATGCAATTATGTTTTTTAGAATTTGATCAGTTTAATGACTAAGCTAGACAACACAGATGTTTAATCAAGTCTTAATTAAACAAATTCTTTTTTTTGTAGCTCAACTGTTTGAAGAATAGTTTGCATGAGACTATCCTTGTTCTGGTGTTTGCATCATTTTGTAAAAGTTTTAAAGGCATCTTCACATTTCATTTTAAGAATTTCAAGATTAATTCTAACAGGAAACTTGAAACATTTCTTTTGGATCATAATTAATTACTTTAAAATGCCTATAGCTACAGAATGGAATTTTTTCTGGGTTATATCTTGGCATTGCCCTTGTTTTTATTAACATTCTGTGAGAAAAATAGTGTGTTGTCTTTGTGACGGACACATGTTTGTACCTCTGTTACTACATGTATGTTGTCATATCTGACAGGCTAATGAGCAGAGTGAATCAGAGAAACGTCAGTTCAGACTAACAGTCGAGGAATTAAAAGCCAAACTTCATGATACAATGGCTAACAGAGATTCCCTGTTAGAACTAAGGTAAGACATGTTTAAATATAATTGTAAATATAGGTTCTCTGTAAAAATGGATGACAGAAATTGAAACTTAATTCAAATAAGATTTTAATAGCACCATAGTTCCATTAATTGCACACTGAAGTTACTGAATTCTTTTCTGATCTATTTATTTGTTTATACGGAAAGCAAGATAATGCTTGATTTCATCAGGTAATTTTCTGTTATAACACTGTATGATGCCATTTAGTTTAAATGTAAGCAATATTGTTTGAAACTATTACAACTTTTTTAAATGATTTGATTTGTTGATTTTAAGATTATTTATTTTCAGACAAAAAGAGTCAGTTAGTTTAGAAAGTAAAGTTTCAGAGCAGAATTCTACAATCAGAGATTTACAACACAAACTGAAGGTACAGGAACAGGTAATTACATTATTAGGTTAAATTCCTGTCATCTTAATGATTTTAAAGGAACTCCACTGAAGTTTATAAGCCTAAAAACATAAAATTTTAATTTCTCACAAATATCTCAAATAACTTAAAACAGAAATATAATTATATAAAATATAACCATAAAATATACTCAGAAATACATTGAAAATGTTTGTGCTATTCTTTGTCTGATTTGAGTGCAAAGCGTTGCAATGCTTATCAAATTTGTTAAAATGATATTGCACAGCTGTGTAATTATTTTGACGTGAAGTCATTTGTGTTATACAAACATAGTGTAAAGACGCCCTAAATGTTAGAGTTAAACTGTAAATGCTTTATTGAAAAATGATTCTTTTTCACTTTAAACACAATTTTGGATATGTGATAAATATAATATCATATTTGTGTAAGATCAATACTACATGTATAAAACTTGTTGAATAAAATAATATTATGCTCGCCAGAGGCTTTCACAATATTATATGTTATTTTGGTTTTGGAGTGATATATGTGGATATATTACCTGTTAAGATTTTATATCACCCGAGCCTAACGGCTCGGGTGATATTTTATCTTGGCAGGTAATATATCCACATATATCACTCCAAAACCAAAATAATAATTTTATTACCCTTCCCCTGCCGAGTTTAGACAATTTTTAGCTCGACTTTTTTTTTTGAAAAAAAAATAGAGGTATTGCTACAGTCAGGTCGGCGTTGCCGTTGCCGTTGCCGTTGCCGTCCGAAAACTTGTACCTGGATCATAACTTTTTTATTTCTTTGTGTATTGTCTTCATACTTGGCCACAACAACCCTTGGGACAAGACCTTTCAGTAGACCACACTAACCTTGACCTTCATCCATAAATGACCTTGACCTTCAAGGTTAAAAGTCCAATTTTTGCTTGTTCATGCTGTTATTGGCTGTAACTTTGTTATTTTTGAATGGATTGTCTTCAAACTTGAACATAATAATCTTTAAGGATATCCCTTAAAAATAACCAGCCAGACCTTGACCTTCACTCATAAATGACCTTGACTTTGAAGGTCAAATTATTGAAATTTTCATTTTTTTGGCTTTTATTGGCTGTAAGTTTGTTATTTTTGAATGAATTGTCCTGAAACTTGAACATAATAATCTTCAAAGATTACTGTTAAAGATATACCGGAAGACCTTGACCTTCACACATTAATGACATTGTCTTTGAAGGTCAAATTATTGAAATTTTCATTGTTTTGGCGGTCACTGACTGTAACTTTGCTATTATTGAAGGGATCAACTTCATATTATTAGAGAACATTCTTAAGGACCAGACCTTGTTGTTTATCAAACCCAACTTTGCTTGGGCTCTTAAATGACCTTGACCTTGAAGGTTAAATTACTGAATTTTCTCAGATTTGTGCAGTAAATGACCATATTTAAATATTTATTGGTGTGTGTGTGTCTATATATATATATTTACAACAACAACAACAATAACTAAAATTGTGTCATTGTTTCTATTTATAGAATTGCGTCATTGTTTCTATTTATAGAATTGCGTCATTGTTTCTATTTAGAGAAATTGGGTCATTGTTTTTTTGGGTTTTTTTTATAGAAATGCGTCATTGTTTCTATTTTTAGAGATTGCATCATTTTTTCTATTTTTAGAAATTGCATCATAATTTCTATTTTTAGAAATTGCATCATTTTTTTCTATTTTTAGATATTGCGTCATAATTTCTATTTTTAGTATTTTTAGAGATTGCATCATTTTTTCTATTTTTAGAAATTGTGTCATAATTTCTATTTTTAGAAATTGCGTCATAATTTCTATTTTTAGAAATTGCGTCATTGGTGCTATTTTTAGATATTGCGTCATTTTTTCTATTTTTAGAAATTGCGTCATAATTTCTATTTTTAGTATTTTTAGAGATTGCATCATTTTTTCTATTTTTAGAAATTGCATCATTGGTGCTATTTTTAGATATTGCGTCATTGGTGCTATTTTTAGAAATTGCGTCATAATTTCTATTTTTAGTATTTTTAGAGATTGCATCATTTTTGCTATTTTTAGAAATTGCGTCATAATTTCTGTTTTTAGAAATTGCATCATTGGTGCTATTTTTAGAATTTGCGTCATTGTTGCTATTTTTAGAAAATGCGTCATTGTTTCTAATTTTAGAAATTGCGTCATTTTTTCTATTTTTAGAAATTGCGTCATAATTTCTATTTTTAGAAATTGCGTCATTGGTGCTATTTTTAGAAATTGCGTCATTTTTTCTATTTTTAGAAATTGCGTCATAATTTCTATTTTTAGAAATTGCGTCATTTTTTCTATTTTTAGAAATTGCGTCATTGGTGCTATTTTTAGAAATTGCGTCATTTTTTAGAAATTGCGTCATAATTTCTATTTTTAGAAATTGCGTCATAATTTCTATTTTTAGAAATTGCGTCATTGGTGCTATTTTTAGAAATTGCGTCATTTTTTCTACTTTTAGAAATTGCGTCATAATTTCTATTTTTAGATATTGCGTCATAATTTCTATTTTAGTATATCTAGAAATTGCGTCATTTTTTTCTTTTTTTAGAAATTGCTTCATTTTTTCTATTTTTAGAAATTGCGTCAATTTTTCTATTTTTAGAAATTGCATCATTGTTGCTATTTTTAGAGATTGCATCACTTTTTTATTTTTAGAAATTATGTCATTTTTTGTATTTTTAGAAATTGCGTCATTTTTTCTATATTGAGAAATTGCGTCATGTTGCTATTTTAAGAAATTGCGTACTGTTGCTATTTTTAGAAATATGCTTAATGTTTCTATTCATATATATACAAAATATATAAAGAAAACTAATGTGACAAGACAGACAAACTAAATTTATAAAAAGGAAACGTTAATATATGTTCAAACCTTTCTATGTTTGCGTTTAGAAAAAGTAAAAAGTCGAGCGTTGCCCCCGCCCGGCGGTGGCTCTTGTTTAAAAAATCATTGTTGTTTCAAATGAAACGTCGAAATAAGATTCCCTTCAGGATACCTCTTCGTCACAACATGACGTCACATAAATACATGACGTATTTTTCCCGTACCTTACGAAAGTAAACAAGAGAAAAGGAGTAGTCTATTGAACGCACTTTTTTGTAATTAATATCAAGCTTTCACAAGGTCATATTTGTTTTTGATACTGATTGTAATATGTATCATTACTCTACTTTGGTAAATATTTATCATTTGACAGTTAAAAAGTGCTTTTAAATCGGAATTTACACCGCGTAAAATCTAACCGTACGCGCATCACCTCAGCGCATGTTGTTTACAACGTTGGGTACCAAACGGGGAAATTTAGTGTGTATATTACCCGTCTGGCTCGGTTATATCAATTTATTTCTGGTGATCAGTATCCAATCAAAAAGGCGGAAAAAATCTGGAAGGGTAATAAAACTTTATTCAACTTGTACAATAAATTCATATTGGATTACCCTCATTTAATGTCTTCTATTTAATGTAATGTAACATATTATAGACACTAGCTGAGACTAGCAAGAAGGCTGATGGTATATCTAGAGAGAATTTTGTATCGGAGACAACGTTGAACCAGGTCCGTATAATCCTCGTAGATGCGGAGAGACGTAGAGGCAAGCCATACTTCGAGTCTGATCCAGCATCCAGTCAAACACCGTCCATGCTCGTACATACTTTAGAGAGATGTATACAAGAATTACTCAAAGATATTGAAATCAAGAAGTGTAAACTCAATGAGGTGTGTTAAATTTTGTTTTGTATTTGTTACTAATTAAATATGATATATCAACAATCTGTCCATATGCTGGTTTTTCACCTAAAATTAAAAATATAGACCAAGGATGCATAGGAAAAAGTATTTCAGTATAAAGGATTCTTTGATCTTGATAATCTGCAGTTAAATGAGACAAAATGCTATGTTTATCATTTGACTTTTTGATTCTTCTAAAAAAAGTTCAGATTTACTTTTTCTGTTTAGAAAAGCTTCATTTGAACACCTAATCAGTTGTTGTTAAAATTCATTAATTACAACATGTTTGCATTGATAAGAAGAAATAATGTATACAATTTTCCTGTAGCTGGAGCGTGATGTATCTGAGATGAAGTCAAGTCAAACAAGTGATCACCAGAATATATCACATGAATACCAACAAAAGTAAGTGGTCTCTTTTAGTATGTAGCAAATGCTTGAATAAAATATATCATAGAATGAAATTCTGCAACAACAATGTAGCATAAAAAATATAGAATACAAGGCTCAATCAAGTCACTTGGCTCTCCCTTTTGTTTTAAATCCTGCCAGGGACTTTACATTCTATTACTTGAGGAAACCACCCACTCGGATGCCTGTTTGAGTCTGAAATAATGTACATAGGGGCATCTGAGGTCTTCCTGCACCAGTAAAGATTGAAAGAATTCATATGACCTACACAGTGTTGGTCAGATTTAAAACTCTAAACCAGTAAAGTCATTTTAGGGAGCTATAAAGCTAGCGTACGGAACATCGCTGGTTCTACTCAGGTGCCCGTTCAGGCCCAAAATAATGCACGGAAGGGCACCTGAGGTCTTCCTCCACCAGTAAAGCTGGAATGTCGCCATATGACCTATACCATGTCGGTGTGACATAAACCAAATCAATCAAACAAACAAACTGTACCAGTAAAGGTTGAAAACTGCCAGAAAACATTTATTATGTTGATGTGACTGTTTATTCAGTAAAACAAAATCTCAGCTGAAAATTTAGATAGTAATTGATAACTTAGATTTAAAGAGGAATAAATGGTGGTCATATAGCTTTATTGAAAGCAACAAGAGTTGTTTATCTTTGTTATAAACTGCAAGTATTTTACAGTGAAGATGAAACGGTGACTTTGTGCAAGCGGTAAATATTTTGTTATCATAAGTGTGATATATGTTTCTAATGTTGCTTCTACGTTGATTTCAGGGGGAAATTTTGTTCTTGACTCAAAACTAGAAAACTAGTTTAGATTTATGTGTTACTACTATTGACTTTAAAACTTAAGCTAACAGTGTTTGTTTAACAGCTTGAGTTATATTTAAGAATATTGAAAGGAAGGAACTCCATTGAGGTTTAAAAGCTTAAAAAGATAAAATTTGAAATTTTTGCTTAGAACAACTGGGTCACTTAAAATGGGAAAATATACAAAAGATTGTAAAGGACTATGTACAGAACTAAAAATTATTTTTGTATGCCTTTCTTAACCCATTTTTAGTTGAAAGCATTTAAAAGCTTTTCGTTTAAGGTCATTTGCTTAATTAGAATGGTTATTCTAGAGGTTTGATGAGGGAATGACCTGAAATTTTGCAAACAAGTTATTGGGACAGACCTTCCAACAATGTTTCACAAATTGTGATAAAATATTTCTAGTCCTATCATGACAACCTCATTGGAGACCTTTTAAATTTTTATTTTGCTTTGTTACCCTTTATGTTTTGGTATTAACATTGTTAAAGAAATGATATTAACTGAGAAAAAAAAATGACTAAAGAAATGTGAATGCAAAGTAATATAAACTTTTTCAAAGTAGATATTTTGGTGTGATAAAAATGTAACATAATATATAGACAATTAAGCTATCATGCTTGTATTCCTTCTGTATTGCATAAATTATTCCTTTGATTTTATATGAGATATTATTAATTTTGCTGTGTTAAAATATTTTCATCTTTATCATTTTGTTTTGTAAAACGATTTTCTAGCTTTTTCAGTTTGAGGTATAAATTCAATATATCCAGCTCTAATAAACTACTCGGGCTTTATCTCTTACCAGGAATAACAAATGGGGGCACCAAAGGTCTTGCTTTACCAGTTAAGCTAAAAATTCAGCATTATTCCTTTACAGTGCCTTTGACCATTCACCCCCAGAACCCATTTCCCCACATTATCCCCCACACACACTCATACTCATTTAGAATCTTGTATAATTCTCTACATAATATGTATTACAGAATAACACAGATGACAGTAGATCATGAGAGACAGATGCAGCTAGCAAATGAGAGAGCCAGTAATGCTAGAAAACAGTCAGCTACTCTAGAATCACAACTCTCTGTTATACAGTATGTATACCTTTATCCTAAATCACAACTCTCTATTACATTTATCCTTACTCGCATTTCTTACTACTATCGGGGTGTTACTGTAAACTTTCCTCAGTGTACATTACCGCAAACTTAAGACCAGTAACAATATACTTGTCTCCAATCAAATACATGTATACCCAACCAATTACAGCATGTATTGTAGGCTTGATATTTAAGGGTTCATTCACCCTGTCAGGCTCTGAGAGTACAGACCCCAATAACAGCAGTTCCAACATGAATTTATATATAATTCACAAAATTCTGTTTTACAATAAGGAAAAAATACTGTAACTTCAGAATGATGTTTAATTATGTTTCCCAAATTTTTTGGGAGACATATTGTTTTTGCCTAAGCCGTCTGTCGGTCCGTCTGGTTGTCTGTCCGCATGAAGCTTGTCCGCCCTTCACAGGTCAAACTGCTGGCGGGATTTCAACCAAACTTTACAGGAGTGATCAGTACTATCCCTAGTTGTGCACTTTACTGGCACGTTCTGCTTTGTTGCACAAAATGGCCGCCAGAACTAAAAATAGAAAAATCTTGTCCGGCCTTCACAGGTCAAACTACTGGTGGGATTTCAACCAAACTTTACAGGAGGAATCAGTACCATCCCTAGTTGTGCATATCACCAAAATGTTCTGCTTCGCTTTACAAAATGGCTTCCAGAGCTAAAAATAGAAAATTCTTGTCCGGCCCTGACAGGTCAAAGTACTGGTGGGATTTCAACTAAATTTTACAGGAGTGATCAGTACCAGTTGTGCACAATATTGGCATGTTCTTTGCTGCACAAGATGACCGTCAGAGCTATAAAAAGAAAAATCTTGTTCGGATTTCACAGGTCAAGCTTCTAATGGGATTTCAATGATTTTCACATGAGTGACCATACATAGTTTTGGGAGACCTATGTTTTGTGACAAAAACCGTTCTAGTTTAAAAAATGAAATGATAGTTGTTTTCCTTTATCATGAATTAGCAATGAAAACTTCAACAGTTATATTCAGAATTATTATTTCTCTTTATATATATTTATATCCGAAAATATTTATTGATATCAACAAAACCATTACAGTTCTTAGATGTTTTTGGATGTTAATGGTTTGAATAAAGAATCAGATTAATCATTTGTATATATGCATAATGTACATGATTATTTCTGAGGTTAGGGTCTGTATGCAGGCCACTTAAGGTACTAAGTTGATCATAATCAGTCATGCATGTATTGATACTGAAGCTAATTGTAAAGAAATTGTAAAGAGTTTTTGTTTTATTTAAAATACTAGTGTTTGACATTTTGAGTTACTGCATCAAAATGTTTGTCACCTAGCTGTCTGAATTTTTATTATGTTTGTTAGATTAATAAAGAATACTTGATGAATACATTTGATAATTTTGCAGAGGTCAACATGACCAACAGCTGAAGCTAAAAGAGGAAAATATCCAAGATTTAGAGAACAAAATTAAACATTTGAGAGAAGAACTAAGTGAAGAAAGAGACAAATATAACTCTAAGGTAATTTTTTAATTATATTTTACTTTTTTGTAAGATTTCTGCAGTTCTATAATTGATGAAATGATACAGCATTTAAAGATTGTCCTAGTCCTAACATTGGTATGATTAGATAAAACAAAGTTAGCAATGGTTACTAGGACTAAAGCAGTGTCAAATACCAGATGCAATGTTTCTAATATTATTGTAATGAGAAAGTTCTGTTTTAATACTTCATGTATATTTGGCTTAAAAGGTCCAAAGTTTTATTGGAATTCATACATACACAAAGATAAAAAACTGAACCAAGCCACTATGTTAAAGTTACAAGGGACAATATTTACATACACCTTTATTATAGATAATGAATACTATAATAATTATCTTACTTATTGTCGTACTATGTTGATATCTGATTTTGACAATTATTTATGTTGATACGTTCGAGAGTTGTCTGGAAAGTTGTTTATGTAATAGTTATAATATAGCGATGAAACTGTTATGTGGAAATATCATTGGGCCACATTATAGGGTCTTTCATTACAGAAAATGATTTAAACTGTAATGCTTATGCTTAGAACTTTTCCTGTCGAGAAAACCGCATAACAGCTGAGTAACATCAAATTAAGATTGCCACATCATGCCATAATTAGACAAAAAACACATTTATTAATATCTAGATATTATTAAGATAACTTTCTATTATGAATGAATATATTATTAAAATATTTTGAATTCTGAAATAAAGTAAATACAATAAATTAAAATCATATGAGATTTATAGCTTTACTGGATACAATAATTTAAGCAAAGTGTTGTTTGATAGGAATTCATCTTCAGTAATTTCAGTAACAATTTGTTAACAACATTTTTATGGTCAACTTGATATTAATGTTTTATATGTGTATATATAATGTATAGAGAGGATCACTAGAGCAGGCTTTACATGGTACAGAGAAGGAGATGAACAAACTGAGGACTGAGAGAGATGAGGCAATAAGAAACCACTCTAACATGGACTCTAAAATTGCTGAATTACAGGTAATTACTATATCACTGACATAAAACAACTACTGTATAACAGACAGTTATAGGAGTGATCACTTGATAATTGCTTACATTGTATGTTGAAGAATGATTATGATAAAAGCTTTTTAAGTCTCTTGTTGAATTATTAAATAGATTATAAAAAAAATATTTCTCTTTATTGTTTGTCAAAGCTTCATGTAATATTAGGTTCATTTGCACAACATATATTTCTGAAAAGTTTTAATATTTTTAAAAGAAAAAGCTTATAATATTATTATAATCTGGCAATTAAATATATATGAGCCGCTAAGGCCCCCACGGTTACACGTTTAAACGGATTCGTTTCGATTTTCATTCATAAACGTTTACGATATTTTTTACCGTTTAATGGAAATGACCATATTGTCTTACAAAATATTTTAATCATTGCCTGTAATCATGAATTCTATCAATTCTAATTAATTTTTTCCAAAGTGAAAAATGGAAAATGGGTGTTTACAACTCTTCACACAGCATTACTGTTCAATAATCCCTCGTGGCATAATACATTTTTGTAAAGTTGATTTTCTTTTGATCTATCAAATGAGCGAAATGGGGATTCAATGCGGAAAATATGTGCCGACTCAATCGTGATGAGCCTTGAACATTATTTATTTGTACATGTATTAAAAATAGAAAGTAAGTCAGCAATTGGTGACTGGAATACATGGTGTAGTAGATCTAGTATAGTTCATAGAAGTACAACCGTTTAAACGGTATCGTTTCGGTTCTTAACAATCATGTAAACGTTTACAAAAAATTATAAACGTGGGAGCCTTATGAGCCGCGTCACGACAAAACCAACATAGTGCGTTTGCGACCAGCATGGATCCAGACCAGCCTGCGCATCCACACAGTCTGATCAGGATCCATGCTGTTCATTTACAAACTCTATAACAAAAAGAGAAACTGATAGCGAACGGCATGGATCCTGATCAGACTGCGCAGATGCGCAGGCTGGTCTGGATCCATGCTGGTTGCAAGCCCATTAGGTTGGTTTTGCCATGGCTAGGCTCATAAAAGCTTATATCTCATAAAAAAGAGATACCCATGTAAACCAAGTTGTCTATTAATCTTGTTTTTCAATTTCACTTTTTGGATTGTAGAGTTTCTGCCCATACATAGTTTGAGGCTGATATGTCGATTTAATTGAATGCTTTTGAATATATGATGATATTTTAATGAAAATACAATATGTACCAGAATTTGATACTAGTCACTGTTACTTCTTGTTATTTGTAATGTTGCTTCTGATCAGTAGCATAGTAATTTGATGCAGTTTCATTGCCATCAGGGAAATAAAGACTTTTTAATGTATTATTTGAGAATTTTTTTTATAACCTTGTAATATTGTTGATTGTTATATTTATTTACAGTTAACCATTAATAAACTTAATCGTGAGCTTGAGACTGAAAAGGAGACTTCTGGGAAATTCTGGGAGCGTGAAAGTCAGTTACGATCAAAACAATCTGAACTAGAGACTCGACTTGGTGAGAAGACAAGAGATGTTGATAGACTGGAGAACATGCTAGCATCAGTTAAACAAGAGTGTAATGCCACTGTTAGTGAAAAGGTAAACATGTATTACTGTTAAAATGTTTAAAGATAATGTCCTATAGTTGTAAATGTAATGTGATTTAGTTTTTGTTTAAAATAGTGTGATAATAATTACATACTTTTAAGTATATTGTGTACAAATAATTAAGTTGTACTATTACCTCAAATAAACAGTTAACAATTGAATAACATTGTTAGCAAGATATGTTAAGCTTTATGCTTCACGGTACAAGTTTAATATGTCAATATATGCATCCTTTGCCCCTCACTGCATGGGTTCAAGTCCCGCTTGAGACTAGAGTTTTTTTCTTGTGAGGAAACTATCCAGAAAATTTACATAAGGTTAGCGGATGAACTCAGGGGCTGTCTTGTGACTTATATTATGCACAAAGGAGCACCAGACATCTTCCGCCAGCAGTAAAGGTGGAATTGCCTTGTAACCATTACAGTGTGATGGTTCCTTATAAAAAAAGGAAACAAAAGTAACTATTCTGATAAATATGTAAATATATCAGTGTTCGACACTAACGCAGTCCCGCGGTCCCGAGGACTAAAAAAATTGGCAAGGGATTTCTTAACTTCCAAGTCAGATGTCCCGTTGGGACTTTAAAGTTTTTAAGTAAAAAATATGCAAAACAATTAAATTTGATCTTTAATCAACTAAAGTATTCATTTAAGATTGTAATCTTGCAAAAAAAGGTATTTATTAAACGTGATAAACTTGCAGAAACTAAACCGGAAATGAAACATTGTTTTACAAAACACGAAAATTCTCCACATACCAAACATTCCAATGTCAGTATTTGCCGATATTTTGCTGTATTTTTAACCACCTTAGTAAAAATGATATGTTTTATATAGTTTTGTTTAATATTTTATGTTTAATATGATGTTAGAACACTTACACCGTGGAAAAAGTCGGCAATTCCATATCAATAGTGTACTAGATTTCGGATAAACACATTCGGATGCGTGATTTTTTGGGGATTTTTTTTAATATACCGATTTTGTGATTATATTTTAAATGCAATAATAATAACTTGTTCCTGTCTTATCATGGCATTGATATCATTATGTAAAGGAATTATGAGCAAAAAAAGCTTTTTTGCAGTAACTCATTTTCTTCTCTTCAATGACTAGTTTACACTTATTCGAGTAGACCTAATACAGCAATATTATAATATCAATTGAAAATTTCTTACTGCATAACTACAGACAAAGGGACAAAATAAATTATATGTATTGAAGTCAGTAATATTTAGGACATATTTTACAAGACCTATAAACACTTCCAACTGCATGTATGATTTTGTTACCAAACTTAATAATGCTGGAAGGAAACATAGAGGATTTCGTTCCTTCATCACTTAATGTTATCACAGATCCATGGGCTATGATCAACATCCCAAAAAGTAGAACGAAAGAACAATAAAAAATAAGTTGCACATCAATTTTGATAGACAAAGGTTATTGCTTTATTCTTAAAATTATATTAAAAAAAATCAGGGACTTCCAACTTAGGGAAGGGACTTTTGAATTCAAAAACAGATGTCCCGTTGGGATTCCTGGCTGAAAAGTTAGTGTCAACCCCTGATATATTATTAAACACTATTTCTAGGTATCATTAATTGAAAGACAAGAACGAGAAAGACATATGGAGAAAATAAGCAGTCTTACGTCACAGCTTAGTGAAGTCAGTGAAAAGTGTAATAAAATATCACTAGAACTTGACAACAAGAAGGCTGAAAATCAGGAGCTGAAGCAACAATCTAGAGAGTTCAGTGATAGATATGATACGACAAAGGTTCAATTTGAGGCAACTAGAGCAGAGAAAAAACATTTAACTGATATGTTGACAGCAAAATCTTCTGATTTTGATAGAGTGTCACAGGAACGAGATTATTATTTTAATATCATGGAACAGAAAAACAATGAGTTATCTCAGTTAAAGGCTGAAAGAGAAAGGTTAACTATTCATTTAGAGGAAAAGGAGAAAAATATAGCCATGTTACAAGAGCAGTGTAATGAGTTAAAACATATGGTAGAGTCTGTGTCAAGAACTAGTGAGAGTTTACGAGAGGAGAGAGATGTTTTAATGAAACAGTTACAAGAAACTACAGCTGCCTTAGAGGAGCTGAAGTCAACTAGGGACACCATGGCAAAGAAAATGAAGATAAGAGAGAAAAGAGTGAAGGAATTAGAGACTGAGAAACAGAAAAGCTGTCAGGAAATCGAGCTGAGAAATCAAGAGTTGGGTATAATACAACAAGAGAAAGAAACTTTATTCAAGGAATTAAAGGAGAGCAGGTCAGTATTTTTAGTTTATCTAATATAACTTTCTTTTTGTCAGTAACAAGTTTGCGAAAAAAAAGAGGCAAATCCTGAGCCCCATTCTAGTAAAATTCTGTTTGGGCTAGCATAAAATGTAGGGAGCGTAGTCCAACAGTCTAGCAATGTTTTGAGATCTGAAAAAATACATACACAATGACTAAGGGAAATATTGATTTTTTTCAAGATATTGGCACGAAATTTTCCGAAATAATTTATATATACATATAGAATAATTTACGTCTGTTGTAATAAGAATGGGCTTAATGTATATGCTTTAACAATTTCTTCTGTTGTTGTGTGCTGATAACTTTTTGAATACTTTGTGATATTTTGTAAACAGTTGTCTCCCTTACACTATAGGTATCAAAAATACATTTGTTTACTCAGTGACATTCCTTAAACATGTGTTTGTTTTTATGTTCATTTACAGTATATTATGTGCCTATATATAATACTTTATTTCATTAACTAATCAGACTAAAATCCATATTACATTTTATATGTAACTTTGTTTAGCATACATAGCTGAAGTATAAGGAAGTACATTTTTACAGGAACTTGCATGGCTCTAAGAAAAATTGCAAGGGTGGATCATATTTGATGCACATTGGTTGCTTTCACCCCAAGTGTTAAGTTGTCTAAGCAAAATTGGTCTAATACAATCAGATTTACATATTGTATATGTATTACAGATATGAGGTTGTAGGCCTATCTGAAGAAAGGGACACATTAAAGAAAGATCTGGAGGGACAGAAATATCAGTTAGAGAAAACTATAAACAAGCTTCAATACAGACTTAAAGGTATGTATCTGATACTTTGATATTGTTTGTGTTTCTTGATCTCATTTAACTAGAACCTTTTGTATGTTCAATTAAGAACTTTGATTGTTAATTAAAACACCAGTGAAACAGTATAAAACAGTGATAGACAACTACTTACGAAATACGCTTATATCTGTGTTATTTAAACACATATTTTACAAAAAAGATTCTTTATTAATATATTTTTTAAATAAACCTGTTATTTCTATACTATTATACTAAATTCTTTGGATAAGTTACTTTTTTTTGTATGTTAAAGTATATTAAGGTAATGCTGATGTTTTTGACTTTATTATATAGGTGCAGAGCAGGATTTGGCTTTAGCACAGAAAGCATTACGTAAACGAGAGTCTGTGGACAATAGTGCTGTAAAAACAGCTGATAAACTACAGAAAGAAGTGACGTCTAAACGTAGTCTAGTTGATACACTACAGTCAAAGATACGCTGGTTCCAGGACCAAATAGATACCTTACTGAAGGTAATGTCTTAACTTTATGATATAAATACCGCTTTCTACATTCTTCATGAACGTTGGTGGTTCTACTCAAGTGCCCGTTCGTGCCTGAACTAATGCATGGAAGGGCATCTGAGGTCTTCCTCCACCAGTAAAGCTGGAACGTCGCGATATGACCTATATTGTGTCGATGTGACGTAAAACCCGAAACAAATAAAATAAAACATTTTTCATGCCCTAATTTGATTTTATTTGAGATATCATTTGGTGTATACTTTATTAAAGTTTGCTATATTGTAAATTTCTATCATTTGTAAAGATCTAGTATTGTGTTTGCCAAGCACTCACATTCTGAATATGTTACTTGTAATTATTTAATCAGTTAAGACAAATATTTTACCTTAATCTGTTTGGCCACTGATAGATCTGTAGCAATCACCATATTTCAGATATTTTTGTAAGGTATTAAACCATCTGGTCTTACTTCATATAGATTTTGCCTGGTTTACATTTTAGCCTTTTGATTAAGCTATTTTGATGGTTTGTGAAAATATTTTGGAGAAAAACTGAGAATAAAAGACAAATTAAGACCATCGAAAAAGGTTTAGTAAAAACCGCATTTGCGGGGGAGTAAAACTGCAAATAACAGAAAACGAATGGGAAACTTTAATAATTTTGAATTTTTAAGGTAAAATTCGTATTATTTTGATTTTTAGATTATGAACAAATGTTGGAAGCCCCCATTTAAAAGGTTTTTAATGCTACCCTCATTTTGCCTACAAAAAAAGGTATAATTTTATAAAATATAGGTGGCTTCTTAATTTGTGTTAGTGGTTTTAATTTTATGCATCAATTTTTAATTATGATCAATTAAAATATTGATACATATTAGATGTAAGACAAAAAATTTTTTTAATTATTAAGGGTTTTATATAAATATATTTAATACATTAACAAACGAAATTATATAAATCCATGTAATTTATGAAGGTATTCACACCCTGCAAAGACTAGACAATAAATTTCCGCAAAATGTTGAATATTCAAGTAAAACACTAATTTTAGTAATCAAATAAAGAAATAATTTAATGACTTGTAATTCTGAAATAAATTGATGCCTTTAAGGCATTCTTGTTGTCCTTTTATGTAAAATGAATGAAACCAGTTAATGAATGATGTTATAACACTACATCTAACAGATAGTGTTAAAGTGGGAAACTATAATAAAAAATGTATTTCCCAGGACAGTTATTAGGTTACTCTCTTCTATCTATCTTTGTCAACTGTTCTAGATGTGGTATTACCGTGTATTTTATATCTACCATAAATATGAAAAAATTTTTTTTTTCAATGCACCAGTTTTAATGAAGAGGCTTTAATCTTTGTTGTTGTTTTTCTGTTGATTTTTTAGCTTTCACCCACCATTCCTTCTCATGATTCAATCATTTGAGTATCACTAAAGTCAGTCTACAATGTCAGTCCTTTAATGATCCTTATAAGACACTTTTATTAGCCATTAATATATAGGTTTTTACTTTCAACAACAATATCATGTGATATTGCATATAGTCAAAGCATTTTGTATAGGGGGAGTAATGAAAAGGTTCTACATGTAACTTACATTTTAACATCAACTTTATTCATTTTTCTGAGGAAAAAAAAGACAATAGAAAAGTATTCAATTATAAGAAAAAGGATATTTTAAGTCTCAGTGGAACATATTAAGATCACTTTTTAAAAAATCAGATATAGAGTTAAGATATTAAAGTTTGATATTTGATTTAAAGTATTTCCCTTGACTCTCGTCAGTTCAGCAGTCATTGATCATTATAACAGTTATAAATGACTTATTTAGTGTAACATTGTTCATAATAGCTTTAAGTCCTGAAAAAGCTCATTATGCTTTCAGTGTTAGTCATTATGTTATGTGTTTTGTAACCAAGTTATTGTCAGTAGTTTTAATGTTGTTTTACAATGATGATTGAAAAAAGACAGAGTTTCTAGTGAGAAAATTAAGATTGAAAGCACCCCTGTACCGGGCATATACGCCATATAATAATATGCGATCTTTGTTACATAAAAATGTACTGAACGTATATACATTAAACAGCATTTATCATGTCAATACTGTCCTTACGGTGAAACCTGTGTCGTTACTGATCATCTTCAAACACATACAAACTGTCAGTTTAAACCATGATTCTATTTAGAATTTTGGTACAACAATGTTTTTTTACCTTTACATTGAAATCACCTATCAGCAGAATTTTTAATTTACATCGATTGATATATGTTTATTGTATCAGTTACTTTAGTTTCTACAACAATTAAGACGATGATTTTCATATTATGAGGAAAGCATTTTTTAAAATAAAATTATTATGAAGATTCATTTGGCTTTTCAAAACCTTTGATTAATATGATTTTAAAAGTTTCTAAACCATAAGTTGTTACTATTATAAATCAAGACATTGGCTGAAAAGGGAAAAATTTTATTGTTATGTATAGTTGATAAGAGAGCAGAAAAAGGATGTAAGTATTGTGATTGGTTGTGATGTTTATATAACAATCTTCATCATTGATTCATAGAATAAAAATGCTGTTTACTAAGTATCTATTTTTGTGTAGGGTACTGTATGTCTTAATATTTATACATTCTGTGTTCTGAGTGTTGTTTCATTTTTATGCCCCCTATTGTAAAATTGACAATAATACTGTGATGGGGTGGTCATGCCATTAATATGTATATCATGTTATGCTTGTCAAATCAGTAACTTGAGAAAAAATTTATAAGCTGTAGTTTATATTACTTGAAAGATGCAATTAAATTAAATTTAAAAAAAGAAACCCTGTTCATCAGTTAAGTTAGTAGGTCAAGGTCACAGAGACATTGTAAAAATCTTTGTTTGATAATAACTTTAGAATTTATTATCCTAGGTGTGTTAATCTTAGTAGGGACATTGTCCATGACCAATAGATTACACCAGCTATTTTTGGTCAAAGGTCAAGGTTATAGTGACACTTTAGGTAAAGTCCTTGTGTGATCAATTAAATTAAAATTGTTAAGCATAAGTTTGTAAAACCTTGTTGTGACATTGTCCATGGACAGTAGGTGATCCCTACTGATTTTGAGATCTTAGCATAGGTCAAGGTCACATTGAATCCTTGTCAAATGAACAACTTGTGAAAATATGAGAAAATATAAGCATGGGTTTTGTTAAACATTTAACTAATTGGAAGGGACATAGCCTATGGTCAGTAGATGACCCAAATTAGTTATTAGTTCAAAGTCATAGTTTATAAGTTACACTTGGAATCCTTATCTTATCAATACATAGTCATAGATTTCATAAACTAATAAGTTAGTATTATAATACTCTTAGTATATAATATGACTTATAAATATTAGTATATAATATGACTTATAAATATAATTAATACTTTAAGCATTTTGGCATGATATTGAAATCTTTAGGTACAATACACATTATAAATTAAAAGCATGAAAAATAGACAGTTTTAGGAGAATTAACATTTAGCTTACAATAGATTATACTTAGTATATTTCACTTGTGAACACCAGCTAATGTGTTTTTACATCTGGTGTTCACTCTGCAAAATACATGTATATTTCAATTTTTCATGTTATACAAAGATTCTCTATAGATTATTAGGTGAAAGGGTTAGCATAGCTGTTTCATAGTTACTAATTGGATTTGTTTTGTTTTATACATGTCATTGTTACTGTACAGGGCTCATAATGTGTTTTCTCTCCCTAGGGACATATAACAATGTTAAACTAATAGGTTTATAAAGTACGCTAATGAATTCCTAAGCAGACTGACGCATTTTCATACATATTCTTGAAAAATATGAACTCTTGTCATTTTATTTGATAAAGAGTGATTGGAATTCTTTTTATTTAGCATCCCATGTAGAATTGCCTTTGCCATACACTTTAATTACATAGTATGTGAGGTTTTTTTTTCAAAGATAACCAATACATTATACTTTTTTACTGTTATTGTAGTGACATTGAAATTATTTTTGAAATTTATTTTTATTGAGTTTTTGATTTGTACCTTCAGATAAATGGAGTGCTTACATTATTTAGTTGTTGTTTTTTGTTACAAAAAGTAAATGTACACACCACTTTTTTCATGAATTTTAGGTATTGTTGGATAATTAACAAAAGAACAAGTTTAGTTTCTCTTTTTTAGCTCACCTGTCACAAAGTGACAGGGTGAGCTTTTGTGATTGCTTTTCGTCCGGCGTCCGTCCGTCCGTCCGTCGTCCGTCCGTCGTCCGTCCGTAAACTTTTGCTTTAAATGACATCTCCTCATAAACCACTGAGCCAATTTCATCCAAACTTCACAGGAATGTTCCTTTGGTGGTCACCTTTAAAAATTGTTCAAAGAATTTAATTCCATGCAAAACTCTGGTTGCCATGGCAACCGAAAGAAAAATCTTTAAATATCTTCTTTTAAACAACCCTAAGAGCTAGAGCTTAGATATTTGGCATGAAACATCTTCTAATGAGTGTCTACCAAGTTTGTTCAAATAAAAGCCCTGGGGTCAAAATTGGCCCCGCCCCCGGGGGGTCATTGATTTTCCCTATATGCATATAGTAAAAACTTAAAAGATCTTCTTTTAAAGAACTGTAAGAGCTAGAGCTAAGATTTTTGGCATGGAACATCTTCTAGTGAGTGTCTACCAAGTTTGTTCAAATAAAAGCCCTGGGGTCAAAATTGGCCCCGCCCGGGGGGTCATTGATTTTCCCTATATGCATATAGTAAACACTTAAAAAATCTTCCTTTAAAGAACTGTAAGAGCTAGAGCTTAGATATTTGGCATGAAACATCTTCTAGTGAATGTCTACCAAGTTTGTTCAAATAAAAGCCCTGGGGTCAAAAATTGGCCCCGCCCCAGGGGGTCATTGATTTTCCCTATATGCATAAAGTAAAAACTTAAAAAATCTTCTTTTAAAGAACCCAAAGAGCTAGAGCTTAGATATTTGGCATGAAACATCTTCTAGTGAATGTCTACCAAGTTTGTTCAAATAAAAGCCCTGGGGTCAAAATTGGCCCCGCCCTGGGGGGTAATTGATTTTCCCTATATGCATATAGTTTAAACTTAAAAAATCTTCTTTTAAAGAACCGTAAGAGCTAGAGCTTAGATATTTGGCATAAAACATCTTCTAGTAAATGTCTACCAAGTTTGTTCAAATAAAAGCCCTGGGGTCAAAATTGGCCCCGCCCCAGGGGGTCATTGATTTTCCCTATATGCATATAGTAAAAACTTAAAAAATCTTCTTTTAAAGAACTGTAAGAGCTAAAGCTTATATATTTGGCATGAAACATCTTCTAGTGAATGTCTACCAAGTTTGTTCAAATAAAACCCCTGGGGTCCAAATTGGCCCCTCCCCAGGGGTCATTGATTTTCCTTATATGCATATAGTAAAAACTTATAAAATCTTCTTTTAAAGAACCAAAGAGCTAGAGCTAAGATATTTAGCATGAGACATGTTCTAATGGGTGTCTACCAAGTATGTTCAAATAAAAGCCCTGGGTCAAAACTGGCCCCGCCCCGGGGTCATTGATTTTTCCTTATATACATAGCAAAAACTTAAAAATCTTCTTTGAAAAAACCCAAATAACTAGAGTTTAGATATTAAGCATGCAACATCTTTAAGTAAATATCTACAAAGTTTGTTCAAATAAAAGCCCAGGGGTCAAAACTGGCCCTGCCCGAGGGGTGTCATTGTTTTTTACTCTATGTGTATAGTAAAAACTTAAAAAATCTTCTTTTAAAAAACCCAATGAGCTAGAACTTAGATGTTTTGCATGAAACATCTTCTTATGGGTGTCTACCAAGTCTGTTCAAATAAACAAATAAAAGCCCTTGGGTAAAAATTGGGCCGGGGGGGGGGGCTATATACAGGTGAGCGACCTCAGGGCCATCATGGCCCTCTTGTTCATCAATCTTCATGTATCATTAATTTTTATCAAGTTGTTATTGCAGTGACATAAAAGAAGCTTGTGTTTTATGACGGATGATTTATAGTAAATAATTATTCTGTAGGAAGCTTGATACGTGGAAGATGTCAGACTTTTCTTTGACATTTTTGTTTTGTTTACTGTTATTGATGAGACATTATACAATAATGTGTTAACCCGGCAGCCCATAAATACAGAACATGTCAAATAAAGTGTGAAATAAATTAGAGATAGGGACACATTACAAAGTGATAATGTATTGCAAATGCTGTGCAGCATCTAAATATAGGAGAGTAGGAAATGACAATTTGTTAAATTTGTGTTCATTTTCAGGAAACTATCACTTAACTGTAACAGAAAATGTGTTGCTAGTCTTCTATTTTATACCCTAAGTCTATAATAACAATAAACCATACAAAGATATAATGATTTGAGATAACTATGTCTGCTTTGCTTTGTGAATTCTTTTTAAAAAGAATTTCAAAACAGCTTTTCAGCTGCTTTATGAAAACCTTGTAACATGAATGCTAGCTGTTATAGTACTTCCCATGTGCTGCTACATCATATTGGAGCCAGGTCTGTCTGCGTGTCTGTTCAGTGTGAATGGGCTCCAAACTCTTGGCTTCTGAATTTTAGTATTTGAAATCCATTTCATGGGCATTGTGTAGTTCAAAATTCAAAGTATGGCTAGTGCATTATACAAATTTAACATGGTAGGTATTGATGCAAGATTACAGTACATTTGGTCATGAATGTATTTTTCGTGACATTTTATTTATATCAATAATATTTTTTTCCCATTAAATTGATAGCAGCATGATTTAACCAGGTCATCTTTGTTTTAAACTTAAAGGCCCCTTATGCTTCGGAAATGCTTTTTATTTCTATATCTCAAAAGCTTTTTAGTTGGTGTCCTGTTATAGTTTCCAAAAAGTTATTTAGTTGCCAATGACCTGAACCTGTTTCTATTGCCTATTGCAATTAGTACAGTTACAGTGATATAGTATTTTGTATGGAAATCAAAATTCTACATTGTTTATATTATGCGACTTTTATGACTCAGCACTTCTTAACTATTTCGACCTAACATAACTCACGTTTGCTCTTTCTAAAGAAGGAAAAAACATTAATTTTGTTTGTAAGACATGAATTGTGCCTTTAATGTCAAACTTAGACTGGCAGTTGTTCTGCCAATTTTCTGAATTTTGATTGAAAAGGAAACAAATGACAGGATTTCTGAAAAGAAAACGTAAACAAAATTTCTATGTTTAGAGTTTTAAATTTTACTTTTTGTAAATCAATAACTGCAATAATGGTCATGAGTGGTTTGGTATTTATTGAAAATAAAGAAATATTTTTATAATTTCATGGATTTCAATCTCTTTTAATAAATGTTCTATTTGTCTGAGAAGTTTATGACAGTCATTTTATTATTGATTATTTATTGAACCAAAGAGTGTTTCTATTAAGTTATCACTATTGCAACAATAGAACTGTCAAGAAACTGTGACAGAAATGAAACTTATAGGCTCAATTTATCCCCATTACTGACAGCCATAACACTTTAAATTTAATATATCTTTCACTTAAAAAACTAGACAGTTATTTTCTCCTTTTCTCTCCCTAACGGTTATAACAATCTGAAGACTGAAACTTACAACTTTGCTTTAATCACTCTTAGTGTTAGTCAGGTAATTAAAATGCCTCTAGTATAAGAGTCTGGCCATTTTGGACATCCATGAAGTCTGACCAGACTCTATACTTAACACTTCAAGCTTTTTGATAATGAAAAGTTGAGAAAAAAGATGAACAGTTGCAAGTTCAAAGCACAAAGTTAGTGGTGTATGGGTCAGCTTGCTGGCATAGCAATACATAATAATATATAATTATCATTATTGCCACATTGGTATGAAGTTATAAAATTTTTTGATGAATGGACGTATTCATTTTCTTGCCAGTATGTAGCTATAGAGAGTGTGTTGAAGAAAATAGGGAAAGATAAGGTAAATCTATCAAATGTTTGGTATGATGTGGAGAGATTTAGCTTGTCTGTTTACATTGTTATAGTTTTGTGAATGTTTTTGTTCACTTAAAGCTTGCTGCTTAGACAGTCATCATTATCATCATCATACTTAACCATTACTATTTTCATCATTATCATTTTCATTTGTCAGTAGCTGTAGCATTTTTTCTTTGACTTCAATCTTCATTATGGTAGACATCTTCATATTTACTATGATTATACCCCGAAGTTTGGGGGGGGGGGGTATAAAGGAGTCCCTAGGTGGTCGGTCGGTCCAGCAGTCCGTTGCATTTTCCTTGTCCGTAGCATAACTTAAAAACTAATGAATGGAATTCAATACAACTTCATACTATGATTAAGCACATTGAGAGGAAGTGCAGTGCACAAGAACCATAACTCTGTCCAGAATAATTATAGAGTTATTGCCCTTTGTTACTTTTCCTTTGCTTTTTTCTTGTCCAAAGCATAACTTGAAAACTAATAGTTGGAATTCAATACAATTTCATACAATGGTCAAGTATATTGAGAGGAAGCGCAGTGCACAGATACCATAACTCTTTCTTGACTCATTTAAGAGTTTTTGCCCTTTGTTACTTTTCATTGTCCAGTGCATAACTTGAAAATTAATGGTTGAAATTCAATGAAACTTCATACAATGGTCAAGGGCAGTGAGATGAAGTGCAGTGCACAAGAACCATAACTCTATTTGGACAAATTACAGTTATTGCCCTTTGTTACTTTTTTTGTCCAGTGCATAACTTGAAATCTAGTGGTTGGAATTAAATACAACTTCATACAATGGTCAAGGGCAATGAGAGGAAGTGTGGTGTACAATAACCATAACTCCATCTTCAGTATTTGTAGAGTTATTGCCCTTTGCATAACTTAAAAACTAATGTTTAGAATTCAATGCAACTTCATACAATGGTCAAGCGCAATGAGAGGAAGGGCAGTGCTCAAGAAGCGTAACTCTTTGTGTTCTTTTGCAAGGTATTCTGTTACTTGTAACTTCCTCATTAATCCGAAGCAGTCTTGCGGGTGTATTAATCACATTTAGTGATAGTTCTAGTTATCGTTGCCACAGTTATAGTAATTATCATCAACATTACCGGTCAGCACAAATAGGACTGTCATCATCCTAATGTCACCTGTTATCATCATCATTGTCATGATTATTTCCATAAATATCTTGACGTCACTTGTTGTTACAGCAACAGTAGCACTACTATTATCATCATCATCACCAACATATCACTGTGGTTGCTGTCATGGTTAAAAATATTGCACCTATACATTACATACTATGAGAGTTTTAGCAATATCTCACAGTATGTGGTAGAATATACAAGAGAAATATCTGACAATTGTTTGCTGTTCAAATTGGAATATCTGTCTCTCAGGTACCCACCCATGGGTGGCAACTTGGCAAGTATCATTATCCCCATATGGGCGGGTATCCACGGGACAAATATTCTGTTCCGAATGCAACATATGACAGATATTATTAATATTGGTCTACATATATGTTACATGTTCAGAAAGAAAAACAGGTACACAACATGGTACTGTCAAGGAAAGATCTGTTTATATATTAATTATAGCTTAAGTATAGGACATGAAACACTTTTGCATTCCTTTTACAATTTTTTTATGTGGATGTTAGATGTCTTCAGGGAAAAACCGCGTACTGATGTTAATGTGATGATGTTTTGTCTGACTTTAACAAATTAAATTTAGTTGAGATATTCAGATAAATGTAGTACTAATGAATGTTTTCAATTTAGACATTGCCATTTTATATTGAATCAATGTTTATATCAGTATGCGTTGTAGACCCTGATCTCCTTCATGATTATATCTGAGTACCAATATATGCTCGAAAATTTGTAAACTGTCAACACTTAACCTTCTGGAACAAAAAATAATCAGCCTTTGTCACCAGTACATCTGTGCACTCTGACCAGGCTCTATACTGTTGGCAGCTCAATTTTCGTTTTTTATACCCCCACAATGTGGGAGCATATAGCGTTGCACTTGTCCGTCCGTCCGCACTCACAGGACAGTAATTATGTGGCTAAAGGGACAATAGGTAACTGTTCTTTCTCTTTGATGTCATTCATTCCGTAATGCTTTTATGTGGGTATTTTCTTTTGTGTGGCTAAAAAGAACAATAGAGAGAACAATAGAGTAGCCACATAATTACTCTCCTGTTAGTCAACTTCCGTCCGTCCGTCCGTCAGTCCATACCTCCTGAAATCTTGTGAACGCAACTCCTCTTAAACCGGATGGCAGATTTTGCTTAAACTTACAGGGATGAACAACCTTAATGTGTAGATGGTAGTAGAGGAAGGAATTTTTGATGCAACCAAATTTAAGAGAATTATGGCCCTTTGTTGATTTTTTCATTATATACTATGTAGAAATATTGTGAACGCAACTCCTCTTAAACCGGATGGCAGATTTTGCTTTAACTTCCAGGGATTAACAACCTTAATGTGTAGATCGTAGTAAAGGAAGGAATTTTTGCTGCGACCAAATTTAACAGAATTATGGCCCTTTGTTGATTTTTAGTTTTCAACTTGTGGCACATGTAGTCCAAAAAATATTTGACCTAGAGTCATAAGATTGACAGAACAGTGGCGTGTGGGGGCATCCGTGTCCTTTTCTAGTTTTGGACACTTTTCTAGTTTGATATTGAAATTCCTTGAATTTGGAATGGATTGTTTCAAATTCAAAACTGGACAGATCCATTATAGAAATATAGCAGGTTAAGGGTTAAAAAACAGCAGGAGACTTTAGGTTTTCACATATTTATAAGGAAAATATGCAATTGTTCATTATATTTCTGTTTTAGAAGTCATGTTTTTGTTATAATCTAAACTTTGTATGTTATTGTAACGTTAAACAAATTGGTAAAATAATATATCTGTTTTATAGACATATTATTTTCATTTTGTTTTGTGAAAGGAAAAAAAGAATATCTTAGATAATGTATGGAATTTTCACTTTTTATAATGTATTAAATATTTTGATTTAAAAAGATGTCATGTTTAGCGAATAATTTATTGTTAATTTTTCTTACTCCATATTGAATGACAACAGGGCTAATTGATGATATTTTTCTTTCATTATTTATACCATGTTGAATCAACATTATTTCAGACTTGTTTGATTCAGTTACTTTTTAGCTCACCTGTCACAAAGTGACAGGGTGAGCTTTTGTGATCGCTTTTCGTCCGTCCGTCCGTCGTCCGTAAACTTTTGCTTTAAATGACATCTCCTCATAAACCACTGAGCCAATTTCATCCAAACTTCACAGGAATGTTCCTTTGGTGGTCACCTTTATAAATTGTTCAAAGAATTTAATTCCATGCAGAACTCTGGTTGCCATGGCAACCGAAAGAAAAATCTTTAAATATCTTCTTTTAAACAACCCCAAGAGCTAGAGCTTAGATATTTGGCATGAAACATCTTCTAGTGAGTGTCTACCAAGTTTGTTAAAATAAAAGCCCTGGGGTCAAAATTGGCCCCGCCCCAGGGGGTCATTGATTTTCCCTATATGCATATAGTAAAAACTTAAAAATCTTCTTTTAAAGAACCATAAGAGCTAGAGCTTAGATATTTGGCATGAAACATCTTCTAGTGAGTGTCTACCAAGTTTGTTCAAATAAAAGCCCTGGGGTCAAATTGGCCCCGCCCCGGGGGGTCATTGATTTTCCCTATATGCATATAGTAAAAACTTAAAAAATCTTCTTTTAAAGAACCATAAGAGCTAGAGCTTAGATATTTGGCATGAAACATCTTCTAGTGAATGTCTACCAAGTTTGTTCAAATAAAAGCCCTGGGGTCAAAATTGGCCCCGCCCCAGGGGGTCATTGATTTTCCCTAAACGCATATAGTAAAAACTTAAAAAATCTTCTTTTAAAGAACCCAAAAAGCTAGAGCTTAGATATTTGACATGAAACATCTTCTAGTGAATGTCTACCAAGTTTGTTCAAATAAAAGCCCTTGGGTCAAAATTGACCCCGCCCCAGGGGGTCATAGATTTTCCCTATATGCATATAGTAAAAACTTAAAAAATCTTCTTTTAAAGAACCCAAATAGCTAGAGCTAAGATATTTAGCATGAAACATCTTCTAATAAGTGTCTACCAAGTTTGTTCAAATAAAAGCCCTGGGGTCAAAATTGGCCCCGCCCTAGGGGGTCATTGATTTTCCCTATATGCATATAGTAAAAACTTAAAAAATCTTCTTTTAAAGAACCCAAAGAGCTAGAGCTAAGATATTTAGCATGAAACATCTTATAGTGAGTGTCTACCAAGTTTGTTCAAATTAAAGCCCTGTGTTCAAAATTGGCCCCACCCCGGGGGTCATTGATTTTCCCTATATGCATATAGTAAAAACTTAAAAAATCTTCTTTTAAAGAACCATAAGAGCTAGAGCTTAGATATTTGGCATGAAACATCTTCTAGTGAATGTCTACCAAGTTTGTTCAAATAAAAGCCCTTGGGTCAAAATTGACCCCGCCCCAGGGGTCATAGATTTTCCCTATATGCATATAGTAAAAACTTAAAAAATCTTCTTTTAAAGAACCCAAAGAGCTAGAGCTAAGATATTTAGCATGAAACATCTTCTAATAAGTGTACCAAGTTTGTTCAAATAAAAGCCCTGGGGTCAAAATTGGCCCCGCCCCAGGGGGTCATTGATTTTCCCTATATGCATATAGTAAAAACTTAAAAAATCTTCTTTGAAAAAACCCAAATAGCTAGAGTTTAGATATTAAGCATGAAACATCTTTAAGTAAATATCTACAAAGTTTGTTCAAATAAAAGCCCGGGGGTCAAAACTGGCCCTGCCCCAGGGGTGTCATTGTTTTTAACTATATGTGTATAGTAAAAACTTTAAAAATCTTCTTTTAAAAAACCCAATGAGCTAGAAATTAGAGTTTAGCATGAAACATCTTCTTATGGGTGTCTACCAAGTCTGTTCAAATAAACAAATAAAAGCCCTTGGGTAAAAATTGGCCCGGGGGTGGGGGGGCCTATATACAGGTGAGCGACCTCAGGGCCATCATGGCCCTCTTGTTTAAGATAAAATAGCATTATATTATTTATGAAAATGTTTGGAACTTATTAAATTAGAAATTCTGCATTTATTCCCTAAGTCATAATTGAATAGTTCCATTAGTGTTAATGTATTTTATGGGGTAATGTTTCACATGTCACATGTATAGTTATGTGCCTCACACTGAAAGCATTCAGTATGTTTTAACATGTAAGATGGTAAATTAAACAGATACTATAATTGATATATTTTAATGTTGTAAAATTGATGAATTATAAATGTCTATAATCTTAATACTATCATTAAACAAAATTTTATCTTTATGTCTTCTTTATTGATGTTTGCTTAATCAGGAGTTTTTTTTAGGAAAAGGGGAAGACGCTGGACGCTGGCTGGCTTAATGGATAAATTGTAATTTTACTTAATGACGTTGATAGATCAGAGATTTTGAAAACCTTTTGATAAATCTTATAATGAGAAATGTAAAAATATTTTTTTTTATGAAAACACTTTTAGAGAATGTTATGTGAATATCTCCTTGTCATGTTTGACTGCTTAGTGTGATAAAATGAATTTTGTTAATGTTTTCAAATTATTAACTTGTCAGTTTTGATATTAATATTAAGTTACTAATAAGTGTAGTTTAACTGTGTCTTTTATACTCAGCTTTGATTTCTTTTTATGTTTTACATAACTGTTTTATCTTACGATGTTGATAGTACACTAATGTTTCTATAGAATGTATGGTGTGACAATTAATTAACTGTAAAGTATTTAAGACAAAGTTTTCATTGAAATAATATTTTTACCAATAATCATTTTTTTTTAGGTGAAAGTGACTTAATGAGTGTATGATAAAATATTGTTTATTGTAACAATTTGAAGGATAAAATATTCAGATTATCTGTTTTGTTTTAACATTTTCTTTAACTTAGGTCTGAACAACTTTTTGTTCAAATAGTACATGAAATTTCATCTTCATTGCTCATACAAATCTCTTTGGGTGCACATGTCATTAAGCATTATTTCAGACAAATTATGCTGCTGTATATATGACCACTCTTGTCTTGTAGTTAATCACCCTCTTTAAGTTAAAATGGTGATAAAATAAATAACAAAAGCAATAACAGAATTGTTTATGATTTCCAGGCCGTATTAAGGAATGCCACAACACAAGCTCAGGTGGAAATGTTTGAGCAGGAAATGACACGAATGAAACTAGCTCATAAATTGGAAGTTAAGGTATAATTCATGCTGTGAAAATTATAGTTTCTATTGAAACAGAAAATTAAGGAAAGTCCTTAATTCATTGCTAATGTGTTATTATGACATTTCTTTAAATTCTTAAAATTGATTTTCTATATAGAAGACATAAATGTTATATTGCCAAATTTAGAAACCTTGTAAAAAGTTCTGATAACATTTAGATAGATTTCAATGTATTTGACTGTACAGAAGAACCAGGAGTTTTTGATGATTATAATTAGTATTAGTTGTTGAAGGCTATATTGAAAATATTCAATTGTATGAAACAGGAAGCAGTACAGAAAGCTGCCAGTCAACATGTAGACAAGCTGGAGTCCAAACAGAGGACCAGTCAAGGGCAACCTCACGATACGGAACCAGTCCAATCACAAGGATATTCAAAGTATGAAAGTCATTCAACCAGTCAGCCTCGTTCTGGTACAGTTCAGCACCAAGGGAATTCAAACATGAGACCAGACCAAATGGCACAGCAAGATAGACTTCAAGCTCAGGTAACATTCTGTGAAAGTAACTTAGGGGTTAAACTTCTTCTAAGCTTCCAGCTTTTGCACAAAATGGGAACCTTATGTTTTTCTCAATCATTGAAACTGGAAAATCTATTTAATTATTATGATATTGACATTATTGACATGATTTGATATACAACTAGGAAAAAAGAATTGTTTGAATTTTCCTTGCTTTTTCCACTTTGAAGTAAATCAGAATTTTTTATGACTTTAGTATTGTAAGTTTGAATATAGAAATCAACTCCAGTTTCAATTTAAAAATGTAATTATTTTATTTGAAAAATATACAACGTTTCGACTCAAGTCTTCATCAGGTATGACTTTAGTAAGAATTTCAAATCATTATAAAGCTGTATGTATATTTGATAGTGGACATTGAATTATAAATACCAAAGTTTACTGAAAATCAAATCTTAGTAGAACATTTATTATATTCTGTAGAAATCCGGTGAAAACTACAAAGAAATTGGATCAGAATTGAAGCTATTGTTAAATGAGATGAGAAACATGATAACTGACAGACAAGACACAAATCAAGGGAATGATAAACGTGGGCATGACAAAATGAAAGATAGGGAGAGTCAGCGAGGCAGTACAGCACCCTCTACAAGACATAGAGACATTAGAGGTAGAGATATCAAACTGACCAACAAATCTCGTCCTAAACTGAAGACTGCCGACATATTTCCAGTTGAAATGAAGAAGGCATTTACACATTACAGGTAGATTCTCTTAAATATAATGAAAATATTGCATACATTTCAAAAACACTGAGTAAAATGTGTTGTTTTTAGCTCACCTAACCACAAAGTGGTCAAGGTGAGGTATAGTGATGGGGCTTTGTCCAGGGTCCGACATCATGCGTCTTTCGTTTTCAACATTCAGGTTGTTAACACTCTAGCAGTCACAGTTTTGATTTGATCATAATCAAACTTTGTCAGAATGTTTGTCTTAATGAAATACAGGCCAAGTTATAATATGGGTCATCTTGGGTCAAAAACTAGGTCACCGGAGCTAACAATAAAAAAATATTGTTAACATTCTAGTGGCTGCAATTTTGACACAAACATCCTTGAAATCGATAAGGAAGGTCATTTTGATGATTTCTAGGTAAAGTTTGAATATGGACCATCCCTGATCAAAAACTAGGTCATATGAGCTAAAAATAGAAAATTCTTGTTAACACTCTAGTGACTGCAGTTTTCATCCAAATATCCTGGAAATTGATAAGGAAGATTGTTTTGATGATTTCTTGGTCAAGTTCGAATTTGGGTTATTTTTGGTCAAAAACTAGGTCACTGGAGCTAAAAATAGAAAAATCTTGTAATCCTAGTGGCTGCAGTTTTCATCCAAATATCCTGGAAATTGATAAGGAAGATTGTTTTGATGATTTCTTGGTCAAGTTCGAATTTGGGTTATTTTTGGTCAAAACTAGGTCACTGGAGCTAAAAATAGAAAAATCTTGTAACACTCTAGTGGCTGCAGTTTTCATCCAAATGTCCTGGAAATTGATAAGGAAGATTGTTTTGATGATTTCTTGGTCAAGTTCGAAAAAGGTTTGTCTAAGGTTAAAAATTAGGTCACAGGAGCTAAAAATAGAAAAATCTTGTAACACTCTAGTGGCTGCAGTTTTCATCCAAATATCCTGGAAATTGATAAGGAAGATTGTTTTGATGATTTCTTGGTCAAGTTCGAATTTGGGTTATTTTTGGTCAAAAACTAGGTCACCGGAGCTAAAAATAGAAAAATCTTGTTAACACTAGTACCTGCAGGTTTCGTCCAAATATTCTGGAAATTGGTCAGGAAGATTGTTTTGATGATTTCCAGGTCAAATTTGAATATGGGTTGTCTCGGGTCACAAACTAGGTGGCAGAGCTAAAAATAGAAAAATCTTGTTAACACTCTAGTGGCTACTGTTTTGATCCAAATAACCTTGAAATTGGTCTGAAAGTTTGTTTTGATGATTTCCTTGTCAAGCTGAGACATGGGTCAACTGGGGTCAAAAATTAGGTCACACCACCCAAATATGGAAAAACCTTGTTAACACTCTTGAGGTCACATTTTTGTCATCAAACTTGGTCAGGATGCTTGTCTAAGTAATTGCTTGGATGAGTTTGATGGGTCAGGTGAGCAATCTAGGGTCATCTTGGTCCTCTTGTTTAATTATTACTAGTTTAAGGACTTAAACTGTTTTTCTTTTTGTATAAATTTTGATAGAAACTGTTTATGTTGGTCAAATGTTAAGACTATTTTTATTTTCTACTTTTTACATTGCAAGTACATCACTTAAAAGTAATTCTTGCAGTAGGTATTATAAACACTGATATCAGTTTCTTATAATTTTAGAGTACCTCCAGCACCATCAGACATCAGTTACTATAGTGATGCTGAGGTAGATGATAGAATACACAACAGGTCAAGGTCACAGACTGGTACATATGCACTCTACTCCCCTGAACTAAAAGGTAAGGAGTATATTAATTCTGAAACAATATGTTAAATATTTGCCATCTGTTCCTTTAAATATCTTGACAGGTTTGGTACAAGCATTCATGCCTCAAGTGTGATACAATATCAGGAAGGTTTTTTTTGTCAAACACCATTTAAGACTAACTGGAGTATATGTCTGACACTGTGTAATCAAAATCACAACATAGATGGATAATGTTAGTGACATTAAATCACAAATATCTGAAATTACATCTTGTCATTTAAGTCTGATTGTCAACAAAACTAAGATAAAGTGAGGTTTTAGCACCTTAAAAAAGTGGAACAGCTAATGTAACAGTTTCATGTATATAATGTATCAGTAGTCATATATAAACAATTCACAGAGCTGAGAAACAGGCTTATGTGCACAGGGAAAGTCTTATAATGTATAGTTTGCTCTACTATTACAGAGAAAAGCACGAGATCTCGAGGTCGCCATAGGAGAAGTAGGTCAGCGGAGGCGTCGTATATGTTACCTAAAGACTCGAGTACATGGACAGATAGTGATTATAGAACATCTGATTATTCCCCTACAGCTCCAGAGTCAGATATTACTGGTAGGTTAACTAGTGTCAAGTCTCTAAATTCAATAAATATTTGCATTTTATAAGCTTGTGTGAAATCACATATACTATTGTGATGTATTGCAACTGATTTATTCTGTTTAAAAAAATCCAGAATGTAGTGGTTTGTTGTTATTGTTGTTTTTCTATTTAAAGTGTATTTTGTTAGAGTCTAAAGTGTCAGATATCTTTCCTGATTTTACTAATTTTTGTCTTCATATAAAAACCAGAAACTGTTACCTAATGAGGATATATACTGTGGTCATAAACTTTACATTATCTGCTGGACATCTGGGATAGTGCAGGCACTTTGCTTGAAGTTGTAATAGAACAAGACCAGTATTGAAATCTAATAACTAATGCTACTATGTCTCAAGCTCAGTAATGTTCAATCAAACCTCTTTAGTTGATAGCTTAATTAATGCATAGCTATAAAAATGAAATAAAGTGTTTTCTTTTCTCATTTGAAAAAAAAAACATTAATGTCTTAATGAGTCTAGGTCTGTAGTACACCCTCTATGATTTCTCTGTAGATTAATGATAGAATTTAGCAAGAATTATATTCTTGGGAACAGGAATGATGGGGACACTTTCGTAAAATATTTCAATTATTTAAGTGGCAAACTGAATGCTTGTTGATTATTCATTTTGTAAAATAAAATTTATATTATTTCTTTTAACCTTGAACCCTGTTGCCATCAGTATAGTGAACATTTGTGAAGTCTGACCAGGCTCAGCTGACCCATCTTTAGATTTTCATCTTGATATCCCCAACATTGATAATGGACTCCCAAATAATGGAAACTGGGAAATTCCATTTAAGAAATTCAGCATGTAATAGATGTATAGAAAGTAAACCCATTTATAAACATGTAAATACGTATTCTGTGTGAGTTATGAAACAAGTCCGGTACACATAGTCTCTTATTTCAAGCTTTTTATATTGCAGTGTTGTGATTACATATGCATGATTTTTGTAGAAGTAAAACAATTTTAACCATAGCAATTTGTTTGGCCAAGAAATAGAAATCTTAAATCAAATAAATACAGTGTAAATTTATTAATTGCATGCAGAGTTCTCTTAGAACCACTAGTTAATGAAGCTTTCATTATCATGTAGTTTTTGAAATATATCTTGCGTGGTGATATAGGCATATTTCAAGTGAAACAATATATTGTGTATGGTTTTTGCAGATACTAACACGTCTAGAGCCCTGACATCTGACATAGAGACTTCCTCCTTTACTCAAGATCTTTTAGAATCTGACTTAATTACCTCCCTTTCTGTTGGCTCTCCTGTAATGGAGAGTACTAAAGGTATCAGATGGTATAGTTATTGTGTAGATATAAACTAGAAAGAAGTATGCATGTAGCTCTTCTATAATCTGCTTCCCCTACCTGGTTAGTGGTATGTGTTGTATATGTGTAACCCTTTAGACAGAAAACATAGCAAGAGATATAATTTGTGTCTTCTTCAAACTAAAATCTTCTATGTCTTATTATTTCCAGTTCAAGCAAATGTTAAGTTTGTATTAAACATAATTCTTTGTGATTAAGTATCTGTCTCAGGATTTAAGATTAATTCTGCAGTTTTACCAACTTAAATACTAAATTTATTTTCAGATTTTTACATCACCCTTTCTAAATCAAAGAGTCCACTTAGTTAAGCACTCCACAAACATAATCGATGTTAGCATTACTTAGTTAAGCACTCCACAAACATGATTGATGTTAGCATTGACAAGATATTCATGCCTCCATAGGTTTTTTGAATAACTATTTAGAATGTTAAAGAAATGTTAGAAGGTACTCTAGTGTAACTAATATGATATAAAGATGCTTGCTCAATGCTGCATGGCTTGTTATTGTGTGTAGTTGCTTTGTGTGTAAGAATATCTAGTCATTGTTAATCTAGTCTAGCATGAACTGTTAAATGTTGTAAAAAGTAATATTGTATACATCATCTGATGTAAAAAAACTATTATACAAGCTCTCCAAAGGAATATTATGAAAAAAACTAAAGTCTATTGAAAAAGAGTGAAAAATAAGGAAAAAGTAGGATTATTTAGCGTAAAACTTGGATGTCAATTGATATACAATTGTTATGCCATATGACATTTTGATATTAAATGAATGATGAAAAAACTTTATTTTTTACATGGTTTTAATTGAGACAGTGATTCTAAGTATCATTGTAAAATGATTGTTTCTTTTTATAAGACTTTTTAATGTTGGTTTTATTAAAAGAGCACATGATAGCTTGTATATGTGCATACACAAACATGATAGCTTGTATATAAACTATATTACTAGAAGTTAGAGTGGATTTTAGTCCTGAATACAATTAAAACATTTATTGAAATCGTTTCTGAAAGAAGATTGTTGAATGATCTGTTGTAAATGTTACCAGCAATTTGCTTAATTAATATATCTAGAAATCTAGACATTACACAACCAAACTGTTAACATGGTTAAAGAAAATAATCTTCTTTGTCAATAAACGTAATAACTAGTAAATAATAAAGGTGCCAACAGCTATTGCTACAGGAAATGTATGTAGTTCAGAATACTCAAGTGTCTTTAGGTTCTGGTTAATTCTTATAGTAAACTTAATTTTACTCTGTCAAGTTAGTGTGATGTATTCAGACTACTTTAGAGAATTAATCCAAAATATTACTTGAGGGAATTAATCAAAAAAATATTTCCTGGCAAATCAAACAAAATTCAAGACTATATAGTTACTTTGATGTTACAATTCTTGATTAAAAAGATATGTTTTTAAAATGAAATTCATATCGCAGCTCTGCTAGCAGAAATGAATCACCTTGGTTTAATGTGACAGCATGGCTGAGTGGTTAATTTATTGCATGTGTTGTTCAACCCCTGTTTGTGGCAAGCTTTTGTGTCCTTGAGCAAAAATTTCTTCACTCATTGCTCAGAATGTTTTGTTCCAGAAAAAGAATAGAGTGTGTTTCTATGAGATTATAGCTTGCTACACTAAGATAAATGTCTGTATAAACTAATCACCAAGGTTATGACCTTGTGTACATGTACAATTTGTTTTTAACATTCATGTGTTAGGGTTTCTATTTATCTTGGAATATGTCAAGATAAAAATTGTATTGACAATTGTATAAAAATCTGTTATCTTTAATAATTCAACCGGTAAAGAAAGTGTGAAATATTTGACTGCAAGTAAAATAGATTATAGGGATTTCCAGGGAGGTAACAGTTTATTTCAGGCAGCAGGGCATTGCCATTAGTATAATATTTGTTTATTCTCAATTGTATATATTGCAGGCAGTACACATTTCAGCATCAACTTAATTTGTTCATATAACATTTACCAAATAACTTGGATAATATCATTATTTTAATAAAAAATATTCAAGCTGATTAGCCAGTATTTCATATTGAATTAAGATAGCCTAACCATGTCCATAGGAATTATAAGCAGTCTTTGGATACAATATATGACAGTTATGTTGGCATGAAATGAAAAAAACAACTTTTTTCTTTTTTTAATGAGAAATATATTTTCAAGTTCAGTTTGTAAATCCTATATACTTGCAGAGGATCCATCTCCACCAAGTAAATCAATACCAGATACACAACTTCTCTGCAAGCGTCTGGAGGAGAAGATCATCAGCCTTACACGTATGGGAGATAATCTACAAAAAGAAAATAAAGGTAATAATCATGAAAAAAGTGGCCATTGAAGCTTCTTAAATGTGTGCAGAGTTGTTAAAATATATCTTTTTTAAAACAGAATGCACAATTTTTATGTTGAATTTAATACAATTAGAACAAGATTGACTTTGTTCATTTTACAGTGAAATATTGACATCAGTACCAATTGCATTACACTTGCAAGTTAATTTAATTATTTTTTAAAACAATTAAGACATTAAGCCATTTATGTTTTGTTTTTTTTCAGAGATGGCAGATCTGATGAAAACACAGGGCAAAAAGTTGAAGAAAGTTAAAGAAAATGAGAAAAAATACCGTAAAACACCAAGATAATAGTGCGTCTTGCTTAGGTTTTAACTTGAACAAATCAAAATTGATGCCAGATCTTTGTCATACAGAACGTTGCATTTATATAACCCAGAATATGTAAATCATGTAGAAATTAATTGTCTTATCAACATTTATGATAAAAATATAGTTATTAGAGATAGTACCAGTCCCTGGATTTATTGTGAACATATAAATGTGAGTCTTGCCTTAGTCTATTTTTGTAGTCTGATCACATTTCCGGAGTTTAAACCTTATGGTGTGATTGTGAAAACAGAACGTGTTGTCTGTTATATAACCTCATGGAAGTCAGAAATTGCTGTATATATGTCTTTTCCATATATCTATTTCCACACATGATCTGGGGAAAAAACACCTAACTTTGCATTGAGGAAACTAACGGGGGTAATTGTGACTAGAATATCTAAGCATCAATGTTGTTGTTTTTTACTACTTTAACTGTGTTGCAGAGTTATGACTCTTAAAGCTGTTTAGCTTTATCTACATGATAAACAACTTATATATAAGCCGATTACATATACAGAAAAAATATTAAGTACTGGTAAAACCAAGCTGAATATATTGATTTAATATTATCAAAACTGAAATGCATTAGTAGAATATAGAGGTTGATATTTAACTAAGTTGGATTGTAGTTTACTTTCTCCTGCTTAAGATCTTAAGTATATTTATAAAGACTTCGAAGTTAACTGAAATATACGGTTGATTTAAGAACATAGAAGGGCCAAAGTTTGTTGACAGCTCCTCTTGTTATGTTTTCTTGTAAATAATAATTTCCTACCTCTATTGTAGTTGTCTATTTATAGCCGAGAGATTATTGTACAAACATGTGTATATTTGTTTGTTTATAAATGTACAGTACATACATCATCATGATATGTAATGCTTTGTCTGAGCTTATATATACACTATTGTTTGATTTGTTTAGCATTTCTCTTTGGTTTATCAAAAAAACTAGATAATATTGTATACATACAATCAATTATTAACCTTTTATTGAACAAATTTAAAATTGTAAATGAGCACTACTTAATTTATTTATTTTTTTATTTATTGGATGTTTTTGTATAATTTTAAACATTCTTTATTCTATGATCTGAAACACCAGCATAATGCATTTTTATCCAACTACATACGATGAAATACATCATAGCGGCTAGGATATTTGTGTGTTACTATTTTACATTGTTAACAAACAGCATTGATTTGATCTAACTGTGATACATTTTTATAATACACATGTATACTTGTATTGTTTATATGGATTGGGCCTGTCTTGTAGTTTTAGAGATAACTTTAAGTGCAATTTCTGGAGCTTACAGCAAACAAATTACTGAAATATTATCGTTAATACTTTTGCACTAGAGTAAACTTTAGATTTAGTTCTATGTGTTATATTGTTTACTAGTTGTAGGCATCATACACAAGTGTAAAGTTATTGTTAGAAATAATTTCCTGTAATCTGGAAAGACATGTTGAAGTTATAATGTATTCATTTTTGTATAACAATTTTATATAAAATGATATTAGTTTATAAGCATGTGCTAAATTAAACATGAAACTTGTAAATGATATTCGTGATAATTTTTTCCATGGTTAACCCATATGTAAGGTAACCAATTCATGCCATAAATACTCCGTGATGTACAACTGTATGGAAGACAGTTGAACTTCCACAAATTGATTATAGGAACAGTCCACATACTTCCAAACTTTTGTTTTTAAAAACTCTACATACTTTCAAATACCACATGTGGATTAAAGTCCTATTTACTTATGCTCAAATTCAGCATGAAAATGTTCCTTTATAAGGCTGCATTATTTGCATGGGTATAATAAGTTGCCACTAGCAAGGTAAGGGTTATTGTATTATGATAATGTGTAGTTCATGTGGTGAGATTGAAATTACAATCTATTCTAAAAGGACTGCATTGCTTCTAAAAGGATAATTAAACAAATATGACATTTCAATAAGAATCCCTTTATGTATGTAATTTGTTAATTGTCCTCTTTCATAACTTACTCATTCTATCATTTCTCCGAAATTGCAGACAGTTGCTAAAAGAATGTACATGTATACTAACATTTATTTTGATCCTTATTTTAAATCATTTTGTCATCTCCCAATAATCAAGATGTTCCTTTTAATTCCCCCCTTACACCAAAGTTCTTTTTCACAATACGGTTTTAATTTCAGGAACTTGTAAGTAATAAATTGAATGAAAAAAATGCCGATAGCTTGCTAGAAATGACTTAAAGGTGTCCTTTGAAATGAAATAGAAGTGGTACTAAAACTACTGAATTATTATGATTGTATCACTGAATTTTTTGTGCTTTATTTTATGGCAACTGGAAATAAATTTATAAGCTGAAAACTATTATCAAGAGGAAGAATTTGTCCCTTTTTGGTTATTATATAATGAAGACGTAATATAAAAATGTAATAGAAATTCATATGAGAAAATGTTACTGCAATGATCTGTTAACACTTGGTAAGAATTGAAGGTAATCAATATTTATGAGTGAAGCAAATATGGTAACTGTTTGTTACAAACTAAATGATATATGCAGTACGTTATAAGGTTAATGTAAATAGACCGTCATTTCTTATTTAAGACAGTAATGAGTGGGTGATGATGCAGTGATTACAAATAAACTTGATTAAAATAGACGATATACATATTTGCCAATTAAAAGATATAATTTTTTTTTGGTTTTAATCCTTATTGCACTAAATATATTCAATGTACATACTGTACCCATCCTGCAAAATTATTCATCATTTTCTGAAAATATACCCTGACTAAATAATGTACAATGAAAACCATGAACAAACATTTAAGCGAAATACCAGTTCCCTGGAACATACTGGTCTCAATTGGTCTACAATGGTCGCATGGGCATAATCTGTTACCACCAGCAGTAATTAAAAGTTAATATAAGAAAATACGCATACAATTTTATTTAGACATTAATTTGTCAATAACTTTTAAGTGGTGCAATAAACATCTTTGAACCAGTTTTTACACGAAGTACGTTTAAACACGATAGTTGCTGGATAGATTAATTCCTTACACTATCTCTAATGCATTATAGCTTGATTTTTTTGGTTTGAAAAAAGGGGCGTATGTTCTAGTGCCACAGGGTTGGCAGTCAACTGAATACAAGTGTCATACAGAACAAAACCTACTACTCTATTCTATATTTACATTTTTTGTGCAAGGAATGAAGACATGCGGTTGTCCCTTACCACGACGGGAAAATCGTTATATTGTCAATCTTTATTGGCATTTCTTTACAGTTGGCATTGAGGCTGATATAATAAACACTATTGTTAAGTGCCATTGCCGGCCAAATTAAAAGGCATAAATAACTATCTTCAGGATTATTAACCCTTTGTCGAATAAAAAACACCAAAAAAAAAGAAGAAAAAAACCTCCATGAGGTCACCGGTCATTTATATACGAGTCCTTATATTCGCTCTCCACATTTTATCCGTATTTATTTAATCCCTAAGCGCCGACCTATCGTTTTTTAACAATTTCATATAAAATCAGAGAAAACAGTAGGATCTATGATATTAATAGGATAAATTTGACATCTTTAGATTTATTGTTTTATTTTGCACTCGCAGACACATTTCATCTGGTGCAAGGTTCACCTGCTGCTACAGTGACTTGGGAAAATAATTCATGACAAGAAAATACCGATGGATGCTTTATGATGTCGCTGTTTGAAGACTTAAACTTAACTAAAAATTAACCTTTAAAAAACTATTTTGATGCACTGCACCGGGTGCGCGTAACCATGGTTAATCGATATCACAGGGCAAAAAAAAAAAAAATTAATTATGCTTAAATGGTTATCGACCGCCGTACATATGATTAGAGAGCCGCCGTTAATTTTTTAAACTTCAGTAGGTAGGTCTAGTCACATCTGTTGTTTTATCCAAGTATGAATCAACCATAATGCTCAATGATCAATTTCACATCTGGAACTGTGCAAATGGTCCGAATTTCATTCATAGCTGTACATCAAAGTACAAGAAAGTACGTCAATTCATCCAAATCTAGATCAGCTGATATCAAAATTCAATTTTACATTTTAACTGTGCATATAGTCCAAATTTAATAGCTGTACATCAAAGGACAAGAAAGTTGATCACTTCGTCAAATTATCTAGGTCAGTTGTTATCAAAGTTCAATTTTATATGAAAAAGTGTGCACATGATGCAAATTTCATAACTGTACACCAAAGAATAATATAGCAGGTCACTTTCTCATTTTATCTATGTCAGCTGATAGTAGGTCACTTCGTGAAAATCAAGGTCAGCTTTTATCAAAGTTCAATTGTGCACAAGGTCCTTATGTCATAGCTATATATAGAAAACAATAAGAGAATCCCAAGATCAATTAAAGGTGAAGGTCACAATTAAATTATGCAATTTGTTTGTTTGACTACAAGTCTTGTTTTGTCAAAGTATAAATCAAATCCGTACATAAATAACAAAATTATGACAATTTAACCAAAATTCAATAATTTGACATTGACAGTCAAGTTCATTTAGAGCTCAAAGTCAAGGTCAGCTCAACCTTTCAGAAGGTCTTGTCCAAGTTTCAAGATAATCCATACATTAATTACTAAGTTATTCAAAGTGTTCCGTAAATCGCTACACAAATTGTCTTGGCAAAATTTTTCTTTTAAAATATATTTTTAAAGTATGACATTTTCAGTTAGCAATTTTATCTAGAGTTTCTATTCACGTTTTTTTTATATCTGTATTGATTGATTTTCAATACTTTATGAAACATAACCACAGTTTCAAAACGTAACCGACAGCCCTCGCATTATGAACTACTAATGAGACCTTCAAAAGGCGAAATAACGACACTTATAGAAGCTAAATAAATTTATAACAATTGGCAACAATGCATTGTTCATATGGTATTTATAGCTTGAATGACAGTGATTTAAAACGTTTGAATTTTATTCTAGGATTGTTTTGAAAATTAGTACGAATACGTAATCGAACTTAAAACAGTTAAAGTCAGGACACATTTCACCATGTTTAAATATTATTAACAGTTGATCATTTCACACTTCCTTATAAAGTTACATGTATATATACACCCTCAAATTTTTGATATACAGAAATTTTGAATTTGACAGAAAGCAATTTAATTTTTCATATGCCTTATCTGGTCAAAATCTTTAATTGTCACTGTGTTTGAAGAGAGAATAACACGTATCTAAAAATCTTACTCGATTATTTCTTATAACATTTATCAATTTCATTCAACAAACATCCATTGTATGTTATGGTGTTAATGTTAAATGTCCGCTCTACAATAACCTCAAGCTGACTTCATTGAAGACTAATCTAATTAAATAACAATTTGTTTGTAAACAGCTGGTTATAAAATAATGTCTGACACCAGTGTGGACAGTAATATTCTCCGTAGCAATGTTCCGAGTGAATGTTTACGAATTAAGAAATAGGAAATAAATTGTTTAATGA